TTGTTTCTCCAGCTTGTCTCCCTTCATGACTTCGCTCTTGGCTGCCGCTGCCGCCTTGTTTCCCAAGCTTGTCTCCCTTCATGATTTCGCTCTTGGCTGCCGCTGCCAGCTTGTCTCCCAAGCTAGTCTCCCTTCCTGATTTCGCTCTTGGCTGCCGCTGCCGCCGTGTTTCCCAAGCTTGTCTCTGTTCCTGATTTCGCTCTTGGCTGCCGCTGAGGCCTTGTCATTTTCTTGCCTGCCTTTGACGCGAATGCTGTTATAAGTGTCTTGTGTACCTTTTCCATCCTTTCCCCGGCTTTGAGTGGGATGTCTCCCAAGCTTGTCTCCCGCTCTTGCCATGGTGTCCAACTTTTCTTGAAGTGCTATCTGGGGTCTATGCCGGTATAATTACATGTGCAAACCTCATGTTTAGCGGAATGAGGTTCCTTTGTTGTGGAGTCGCAATATTGTAAGCTCTCTTCCTCCAGCTGCGGTCGCCCCACCATGTGCGAAGCAAGTGAACCACATGGTTTTCCGGCTTCGGATCTTCGTGTCTTCGTGCGGATCTTCGTGCTGCTCCTGAGAGCACTTGAGGTGCTTCAGATTCACACGCGAGGTGATTTGGCCCTCGCCTTGGAGCGTTGGGCCTGTCCAAGGTTTTGGCATGTTGGCGTGTAATTATTGTAATTATTGGAGAGCTGAATCATACAGGATATAGGATGGTAGATCATTGGTGAACCTAGGTCTTGATCAATGACTATCCTTTGATGCTGCTGCCAAAGGCCCTGCGCAAGGCGCGTGCAGTGGACAAATCTTTTCTGGCAATGCTTCTTGGTGTTTGGGACACGGGCGTTTGTATGGTGTAGGTGTCTCAAGATCAGACTTTGTGCGACTGTCAGGAGCGGCCCGACATTTCGATCGGTTTCTACATCCATTGTACCTTGACTTTTCGTTGGTGGCTTTTCGAATTCTTTTGATCCCAAGAGGCACCAGTGATAGCGATAGCGCTCTCCATCTCTCTCTCTCTCTCTGCTGGAGCCCACTCACATGTGGCTGCGTGTCTCCCTCATCCTTCCCGAGCCTGGCTCGGATGCACCACACCATTGGAACTGAGGCGTGTTCCCCAGCAGCGAGGTGGATTCTTGGGTGAACTTGGGTGGGAGGGGTGGAAGGAAGAGCTGTCGCAACTAGTTGGTGTGGTATAATATGGATGGGTCAAAACCGCCCTGGTCCATTGTGGCAATAGGCCAACTGGTCGGTCTCCTGGTGCGTCACAACGCATGCGTTTCCTCATAGGACGTTTCCAGAGGAACCGAATCGAGCCCCGCTCCGAACACGCTTGACAGAAGGTGCACCGCCGGCACCGCCAGGTCTACCGAATTCTACCCCAGCGGGAGGAGCTGCTTCGTGGAGTGTTAAGCCTCGACCCGAGGCTTCTCTCGTTGGCACGGAAGCCTCGTGGCACGGGGGGTGCCTGCTAGCCTCCCCAAATGGAGATTCCCAACAAAGGAAGCAAACATCCAAAGAACTGAGGCTCCAACGTCATCGGCTTCCACAATTTTCAATATGCTGGGGGCCTTACAATGGCTGCCACATCATGCTTGGACGAGAAATATAGAAGAGACCGCAACACTTCCAAAGCTGTGAACAGCTGCTTCGCATCACAGCTTTGGCTGTTGCCCCACGAGTCTTCAATTATGGTGAAGTAAATTGAGTGAGTTTTGGGGTGATAAAAATTAAAGGAGTTTTGGGTTGATCCGTTCAACCTTGTTCACCTTTTTCTCACGATCCTCCTGGGCCGCCAAAAACACGGCGGCGTCTGCCCAGTTCCTGGAGTGTTCCACCAGGTCCGCCACTTCCTCACAGCCGCCACACGCATCCTGGGCTCCGGCCCAAGAGGAGGGAGTGCACCGCAGCGGCGGCCGAGTGGCTTTCAGCCCGGAGTACGAAAGACCGGGCACCGCCGTTGAGGCTGCGAGTGCACCGCGTCGGGCATTGAAGCGTGTGAGGCGGGTTGGGTGGAGAAGGTGGGGAGAACGCCTTTCAGTTTGTTCGGCCTTTATAACGGAACACAGCCTTTCCTGCCTGGTACATTATTGCATTCTTCACTGCGGAATTTTGCTGGATCTGAGTGCACGGCATGAGTTCTTCTTTGCTGTTGAGATGGCAGCCATCCGGCCGCGCGTGCATCCTCTCGCGAGACAGGATGCTGGTGGGACCAGCACGAAGGCCCCGAGGGTTGCCAAAATATCGCAAAGCATGCTGCTTGTGGGACAGTCTGAATGTAAGTATTGCACACCTGAGTGACCCGTTCTCTGGAGTACCAAAACCCCAAAAGTGTGATGTATGATGATACATGTTCGTTTTGTATAAAAAGGGACAGGCTAACCAGGTGTTTCTTTTTGGTATTTTCAATACTACTGCTCAGGTGCAAATCGAGGTCGACGTCCGTCGGCGGTTGGTCGGTTTAGCTTCGCGCTGCGCGGCGAGTCGCCGTGTGCGGCGTCCGTCGCGTCAGGTGATCGCCGTGCCGCTGGGCATCCATCTGGAGCCCTACTCGCAGATCTTTCATCGAGAGGAGAGCGGTTCAATCAGCTCGTCGACCGACCGGATGGCACGAGGCACGAGTTCTTGCGATGTTGACTAGCTGAGAATGGCCGATGGCTACCAGGGTGTTGGGGTTTCTGAGACTTGCATTCCACTGGACGAAAACTGTCGCCCGGGAGGACACGAAAACCGCCATCCGCGACCTCGAGAGGTCTGGAGACCGTGTGACTTCACGTGGGGGCTTCGATTCGGCCCAAGGGGGCCCTTTCTGCTCCCCCCACATTCTCGACTTCCTGGGGTTGTCGTGGCACAGATGCTCCTTTTTCTCGAAAGAAGGCCCTCCGAGTCGCACTCCGATTCTCGCTGCCCATTCCGACTTGGCTGCTGCGTCTAAAGACCATTTGAGATCTGGCTGGAATGCTTCCATAGTTGCAAGAGTTCTGGACACCTGCAAGCCTCGTGGTGGAGCAATATGCATCTAAAGCTCCGCATAGCTGTGGAAAAGGACACTCCTGGAGGTTCGCAAATGTTAGATCCGTGTCTGCCAAAGATCATCGAACATGAATTTGGAGCACCTTTTGTCATGCCTAGGATTAGCCTTGTGTAGCTTGGAAAGGGTGCATGGTTGTGTGGACCCCAGCAGAACCTGTGGTGATGTTGGAACACCCACCATGTTCCACCGGATCTCCTGTGATATCCTGTAGATTGCTGTCGTCTTCTCGTTAAGAAAAGAAGGACACCATGGCTCCAAAGCGCCTCCGGCGGTGGAAGCGGAAAGGACCTACGCCTCCAAGACCATTCTCATGGCCGTGGATCGACTGGAGGAGCCCCAGTCCAGCCATGCCGACGCTTGAGCCGAGTCACTCGAGTGCTTGTTCAAGCCATGCGGGGCGGCAGAAAGTGCGGGCCGCGGTTTGGCTGAAGAGGAGAAAGAGGGCATCCCTCACAAGATCATGGCCTTCCACAAGTTCCTGCAACGTTCACCGTCGCATGCTGAGAAGGGACTGTTGATGACTCTTGTTCTTTCTTGCCATTTGATGAGGGAGGACCGGATTTGAAAGCTTGTGACGGCAACCATGCATCAAAAATGGCTCCACCCAATCTTGGTGGGCCGCTGCGAGGGCTCCAGAGCCCTCGAACTGAGGGGCTGGGCTTCAAAGGTCGTCTTCGTACAGCTCGTGCAGGTGGGCGCGATAAGGAGCGGGGCAGGAGCACGTCCGGTACCACTTACGCGAAAGCCGCGGGCTCCGCTGGTCTCAACCAATCGTCGGACTGTGATGGCCGCCCTCCAGCCCACGACCCATGTGGGTATATCATATCAAAAGCATTCAAAAACAGCGAGACCTCCCAGGCAATGAGCTTCTGGTTGAGACCTGGGAGGTAATGAGACCAGTCTACCCATTGTGAGGGTCCCCCTGTTCAGATACACACCCATGATGCGACGGCCTTCACGAGGGACTGCGGTGCAAGGGTTCGGGCCCTGGTCGGCGAGGCCAAGACCTTTGACGACGAGGAGGTCTCCGAGACGCGCGAGGAGCGGCAGAAGCTGCTGCAGCAGGCCCATGGCCCGGCCGTTTCGGCGCTTCCACAGGGCCATGAGACAGGACATCAATATACATGAATCAATGAATCATTAGTTGCCACGAATGTCTGCAGCTGTTTGTGCTTGAACCTTTGGCTGACATGAGTGACCAGACAACAGCATCTGAAGCCAGTCGTCTTCTTGCCAGACAATTTCAGCATGTGGCCAGGAAATGGTTATTATATGTTATTACAGTATCAGTATATGTGTGTAGGAGGTCTGGGAACTTTACGGTCTCTTTCCAACTTCATCAACTGAATGCGACATGATCCTTATCCAAATTCTTGGGACAATGACACTGGCCAAGTTCCTCATCTGGCTAACTTCAGACATCTTCAGACCATAAGAAGAACACCAGCATTATCCAATTGAGCAATGTCTGCCGATGCCCGCTGGCACCGCTTTGTGGCGGGTGGACTGGGGGAAATGCCGCTTGGGCAAAATCAATGGGGCCTCCTGTTTTTGTCGCTTGAGCCATCTACGAGTGCACATGAGGGCATTTCGCGTCAAGCCTTGACCATCTTCAGGTCTTGTCTGATGGTGTTGGATGTGGGGGGACGGCTCGGGGGACTCGAACTGGGATGGCTATGTTTAGCGGTTGCAAGTCGTTTGGTTGATTTTTGAAACAAGATCGACCTTCTTGGCCAACTTAGCTGGAGCTTCACCAGGGCTCTTTCAAGATTTTGTGCCAACATTTCTAGGGCTTCTCGGAAGACGGCTCAAACCTCTGAGGTTTGCTGTGTCCTTCTCACACCCGGCAGATGTGCTCAAGGTGCCCAAAACCCTTCGGACGTGGTCGGAAGCGCTTCGGGTGGGTTCGGGCGCGGTCCCAGCGCCGGTGGATCGGCATGCGGAGTCCGAGTCTCGCCCTCCTTAGCGGAGTCCGAGTCTGACCCGGTCTCGAGTCTGACCTAAAAGCACTCTCACAATGACTCGAAGTGGATGAACTTGGCCTTTGGAGATGAGGAAACACTCCCTTCATGGTTTGATGTGGTAGGTCCACACTGAAAGAACGACGCGCGGATGGAACGACGCGCTTCCTTCAGTTTGCACGTTTGACTCACATTATGCAGACATGTTTGTACGAAAAACCCAGCTTCCACTGGGCGTTCGGTGCAGCCACGTCTCCGTGGCCCACCGGTCTTCCCCGTCGAGGTTCGGCTGCAGCTCACCGGTGAGTGCGACCGTCGAGTGAAGACCCTGCGGGCGAGCGGCTCGGGCATTTGTTGGAGCACGTGGTTTGGGTTTTGGGGTGTTTTGGGTGGGATGGGTTGAGAGCTGACTGAGATGCCTGTAAGCTTGAAGTGACCAAGTGGTGTTTCAAGGATGATGAAGTCCATTCATGCCACTTCTGGTTCACTTCTGCCACTCGTGATGTTTCTTCATGTGTTCCTTGAACCCAGGAGACATGATGCGGGTGGCCCGACAAGTGGCTGTGGCCCGGCGTTAATCTGTTCCAGGAACAGTCGAGCAATCCAGACGAATACCATAGTGCCCTCTTGATGCTGGCCATTTTCCAGACCCAGCCGTTGAAATTGGATGGACCAGTTCTGTCGATAATGTCGGTTGAGCTGTTGGTTGAGCTGTTTGTTTGACGTCGATTTGGACCTCTTGGCTCCCAAGTCTTGATTTATTGTTTCTACTAGCTTCTTGCTCCTAGTAGGAAGGCCAGGAGCCTCGTTCGTAGCGTCCGATCGCTCCGTTCGGTTCGCGATGCCCTTTGCTTTGCTGCTCCGAAACGTTAGCGATGCGAACGTTTGATTTGTTTTCGCTCCCAGGGACCAGACGAACACCTTTTGCCTGAACAGTCCCAAATAGGCCCGCCATAGGTTAGCCCAGCTTGATAGACGCCTCTAAACAGATCCTAAGCTGTCCGCACGGAAGGAACTGGTGACCACTCCAACTCACCGCGGTGACCACTCCAACTCGAGGTCTTGGAAGGTTTTGGAGGCCTCTATGGCGGCATCTCGGCCGCCTGGCTACGCATGGCCTCCTTCGGCACTTTGCGCCACGGGCTCTATGGCCGCCGGGCGTAGAAGAGATGGGATTGCTGCCATGCGGGTGAAGGATGAAAGGGGGAATGAACGGATGGACGCCCATGAAACCATTTGGTCTTCATGGTCGTTTGGTTCCCCTTTTTTGGTGCTCTCTTTTTGTGGTGGGATGTGGAGGAAACGGTGGAATGGATCTGTGCGCATCGTCAGATGGGGTGATCCAGCGTGTGGTGTGTACTCTAGGGCCAGATTCGGTGAGGCTGGCATTGGAGGTTTTGAGTGGGGCTGGCATCGCGAACTGCGCGGATGTGTGTGGATGGGTTGCGAGCACGAGGCCTGCTGGAGCAAACAGGAAGGAACCAGAGAGGAGTCCTGCCTGCATCTGGGGAAGTGGCTAGCTGCTGACGTGTTGAGAAGCATCCCATTTTTTCCATCCATTTTTGCGTTCAAAAGAAGCATCCAACAGGGGAGACCGCCATTTGCTAAGCATCCTGGGTACGCCAGGAGATCCTGGGTACGTCTCCACTGAGGCGAGGTTTCACTCCTTTGGCGCTTGCAGGCAGGGCTGCTGGCCGGCACCGCGGCCGCGCTGGCGGCCAATCCGGCCGATGTGGCCTGGGCCTCAGTCATCTGAGACTTGAGATCCCTTGGAGTCCCTTGGACCTCTCGTTTTCGACCGAAAAAACCAACAAAAACATCACCAAAACACCAAACAACTCCCACGCCAACTCCGACGCGGTCTGGGTGGCGTCTCCCCACCGCGTCCTCACCGACCGGAGCTCACAGGTTTCATCCTGTGAGCTCCGTCCGGCGACCCGACTGAGCCCCAGGTGCTGATCCGGATGCAGGCGGATGGTGGATGGCCGGAACATCAGCGACGAGCCTTGGACGTTGGAAGGGGAGGGGCGAGACATGGCTGCACTGGACCGACCAGGGAAAGAAGTAACAGAATGGACTACTAAGGAGGTCCAACCTATTAGGATCAACCTGGCAACCCGGGTTTTGACCGGAAGGGTGAGGTGAATGAGCTTTGGATTCAAGAGACTGGGATTCTTGGCTTGGCTCCAGAGCTGTTCTCAATCACCAGAAGTTGCAAGTCTGAAAGTCTTTGGAAGCCAAAGAACGTCGCAGTCCTCCCATCCCGTCAGGCCACTACCGCCATGCTTGGCACGGCCTGCAGGAGGTCTACGCGGAAGGCGGGCTTGCGGCGCTCTACCGCGGCAGTGGCCCGACGGCGCTGCGGGCTGCCCTGGTGACGATGTCGCAGTTGGCGACCTATGAGGAGAAAGCGTGGAGGAATCAGCCGAGCGCGACGTGCCCATAGGTCTGAAGTCAGCGACTTTTGAATCCCATTATACAAGAGTTTTCTTGGAGCAGTGTTACCCATACTGTATATACTAGTAGCCATAATGGAGCATGAAGGGTTCATGAAGATTGCGGGATTGTTTTTGTATAATTTTGCATAATTTCGCTATGTATTATATATGGTAGAACTTAGAAGCTATTTTTCAAAAAGCTACCGTTGGTTCAGACAAAAGAAGTCATCATTTTGGTTCAAGGGCGAGAAGTTATGACATCCGCACTGACCCCAGAGTCTGAAAGTGGGTCCGCTGGGCTCGTGGGATCTGAGGATGAACCTGCGCTCTTTTTGCCCTCGGCATGTCCGAAAGCAACCATCTCCTGGCAAGACTGCAAACCTTAGTGACTTGCTACAGCGCATAAATATTCTTCGTAGTGCCCTTAAAAGGGCAAAGTGCACCTGCGACGAGATGACGCCAAGCACTGCCAACTTTTACCAACGAGTGCTGCTGCAGTGTTGGATGCCAAGGCTTCCGGACATCGTTGTGCAGTTCTTCAGTCCTCTTGATCTTGCTGTGGAGACTTTCGTTGACGCATTTGCTGTGACAGAATCGTGTGTCAGGAGTTGTTCCAAGAAGCCGTTTGGCACCTGAGTGTTCGTCAGACCCCTACCTGGTCAAGGCATATGCCAGATTTCTTCCAAACCTTCAGGTGGCTGATGCAGAGTCAGCAGTGCAGAGATTGCAACGCCAGCAAGGCTACGAGCATGATACTGAACCCAACCAGCAGCTGCAAGCATACCCGCCCGATAGCGGGCTGGGGGGGTTTGTCGTTTCAATTGGGGGGGGCGAATTGTTAGAGTGAAAGGGGGGGGTATCGTCGTTCTTGTCCATGGCGGGGGGGAGCAAAGAAAGGATGTTCACATGAAGCACCTGTGTTGTGCGACCTGGAGTCACCCCTTTAGCTGTGACCTGCAGTGGGCCATACAATGACATTGTGCTCAGCAAAGATCTTTCAGCTTCTCTAAATGTTCTAGGAGCAGTGTCTTGTGGGATGCCTTCCTCTTTCACTTTCTTCAAGATTGCTGATAAGCTTGCCTGTGTACAATGGGGCAACCCATGCTTGAAGTCAGTCAGCTTTTGCTGCTTCAGCACTTGGGCTCCAGCCAAGGCTGGGCTAAGTCTTTGATACAACACAACATCAAAAAATAAACATCTATGCCTGCATTCAGTATCTGCAAACCCTAGCGTGTGTGACATTGCCAAAAACCATCTTGTTTGGCACTGCCAGATTGAATCCTGCACAGCAAATTCTGCAGCCCAAGCGTTCAAGTTCCATAATGGCTGCCTTTGCAGGAAATGATTCCCCAATGTGGTTTGCAAAAGCTGAATTGCAAAAGCCCTTGAGGCTGAAGTCTTGTTGGCCAACATACAAAAAATGCTGCACTTCACACTTCTTTTTCACACCCACACTGCCACTTGTTTGTTGGTGGTACAATCCCCAAAGCTGCATGCTTTCATGCAGGTGACCCCAGGCAAAGAGACATACCAGAGGTCTTTGCTCTAGTGGTTCTTTGCCACATGGTGCTGGTGCCATTTCTTCCACTCATCATGGCAGCCAAAAACTTTGCCTCTAAAACCATCCTTCAAACACACTTTGCAGCCCTTTGGGTTTCCTCGACATCGTGTACACCCAACCTTCTTCCTCTGCACTGAAGAGTGTGGGGTGGCTTTCCTTGCTTGCTGGCCATTTGGAGCAGCTTTCTTCTTTGGCGCTTTGCTGGCTGCAGGCCTTTTCATTTTCACTGAACTTTTGCCAACCTGTGGAGCAGGTCTTGACTTCAAGCTTTCCAAGGCTGCTTTCTCATATTCTTCAAGGCTTTTCCCATCACATCCTTTATTCATATCAATCTCCTCTTCATGGTCACCTTCAGGCTGCTTGTCAGCATGTGTCTTTCCTTCACCAAGAGCCTTGTCATCCACCGCATCTTCCAAAGGAACCATGGACAATGATGAAGAACTCTTGCTGACCAAGGGCAGCCCCCCTGATGATGATGCCTCTGAACTGTCCTTCCGTGTTTCTCGTGCGATCAGGGAATGGTTTCCTTGAGTGCAAATACTTCTGCGGGATTTTTCATTTGACTATTTTTCCCTGAGCTCTCCAAGACGTCAGAGTCCAGGCTTAACTGCATCGTGCTGACTGAGAGGGCGGTGCAGCAGGGATAAATACTTAGTTGTATGAGAACAATGACCTTGTCCGATGTGAGTACGACGAACCGGGATTTTCTTGGGCATCTGGCCCCCAATGCAGGAGATGAAAGGCAAGGCCCTCCAAGCCGGCTTCAACAACGATGTGAGGCTAATTTCGGGTCGGAGAGTCGACAGGGCACCTTGTCAATCGAAGGCCCAGAGATTTTTGACGATGTGCTTGCGCCAGTTTCTGGTACACCCTTCGCTAGCGCTGGGGTGCCTGGCGCGAAAAACGTTTTTGCGTGTGTTTGTTAGCGTGACAAATGTGCCCGTTGTTTGTTGTGTCTGTTAAACATGTTAGTCAGTTCTCCCTGTGTGATCATGCCTTAGCCAGGCTGCACCTTTGCTGCGCCATGAGCTCGGCCACCGCGGCCTGCCTTTGCACGCAGCCGGTGGATTGTGTGAAGACGCGTGGCTCGGCGACCGCCGCGGCTCGGGGAACGATTCTTCACGGACAGCAAGCAGAAGCCACATGACATGGCTGGCGATACCTGGTATGGTTGGTATGGCTGGTGCTTAACGTGATGAACTGTAAGATGGTAACTAAACCATGAACTTGCCACTCACTGCACCAGCATCATGTGGGCCGGACTTGTGGTGTTGGTTTTTCCGAGCTAGCCCGGAGCTTCCGGACGCTTCAGGTATCATCAACATGCAGAAAAACTGCGGTGTTTCATACAGAGGCGTTCCCTGGGTGGCGTTCGTGACAAACGGACATGCATCGTCCGATCGAACATGGAGTTCATGGTATGCGTTGGGGTTCCTTCAAAAAGCAGTCGTGCTTCCTGTGTGCAGCACCTTTACTGGAATCAGCAAGAGCGGGCCTTGTATTTTTGGACATACCGTTTCAGAAGGACTAGGACTCCGCAACGGACTGGTGGATGCTGAGCCTCTTGTCCAAAAATGTTGAGCACGGGTGATTCGTCGTCTTCAGCCAAATTTTTGTTTTCGTTCTCGTGCAGGTCCTTTGGATGTGGTGAGGAAGACACTTGGCACTGAGGGCCCTTTAGCCTTCTACAAAGGCCGGGTGTGTGGCCAGGTTCGGTGCACATTTTCAGGCCCAAAGAGGCTGAAAGGTGGTCCTGGGTTCGACTCTTGATGAATTAAGACCTCCACATTTGGCACGGAAGTCCGGGTCATCGCACCAAACCATCCGCTTTGGATGCACGGGCGGCACGCGAGTTGGTTGGCGCGCCAAGCCGCCAAGCCTTACCGCTATTCAGTGGGTTTGGGTGGTAGTGTGAAACTCTCCAATGAAAATGAACAGGTGAGAAAAACATACCAAGTAGCTAGGAACGAACAGCATGTGGCAGCAACGGACAATAGAGATGACCTCGGATGTGGCCCTTTCGAGAGAAATTCAAAGTGAATTCGTCGAGAAGATTCTCAATTATGTGTAAACGTGTCCAATTTTTTCTTAGTTCTGAGAACATATGGAACGCGGCTTTTGAAATTTGTCTTCTTTCTCATATGTGGCTTTGTGCCATTGAGGCCATTTATTTTCTGTTTCTTGTGTATATATGCATCAAATGGCAAAAGAGGAATATTGGTGTGAAAAGGCGGGTTATTTGGCATCGTACTTCGGAGGTCGAACATCTATTTGTACGTGGCCGGGCCCATAAGGCAGTTGAGGTCGACATGCCACACCCCCTTGATGATCACTGGAGACACCTAGTGAGATCAGGCTCTTCGAACCCTGTTTCCGCTTTGGACTGTAAAACCTCTTCACAACTCTTCATATGGGTTGCGAAGCGTCGTCCATCCATCCGGGGCATCCGGTGAGTAGACGCTTCATCTCATCCGGTTCCTTGGCCCTGTGAATGGAAGGAATGGAAATGAACTCTCGAATGACGAGACGTCGATCTAAAGCCCCTGAGACGTCTGAAAAACATCGTCCTTGGTTGACTGACTTCCATTGAAGATCCCATTTCACTTGCTCTCCAGCTTTCCAGTCGCATCGTCCCACAAAGGAATGCTTGGCACTTTTTGGTTCCTCAGGGTGGAACCATAACGGAGGTGGCCAAGCCTGATGGGTGGAAGAGAATCTGGTTTCCGTGGACCCGGTCGACCCTCCGCACTTCGCCTTCATCCTGGGTCGTTGGTGTCACAGCTCTCGACCTGTCCAGGCCTCTCGGCGACCTTTGTACGCCCCTCGGCAAGGCTCGGTAGGCCGCAACGAACGATCCAAGGAGGTCGATGCAAACGCCTTCCCGCGCAGCTGGAGGTGCTGTCTGTTGATGGAGGTGCGCATGCCTAAAGATTTGATGACACGATGAAATCCATGTAAAATCCCTTTGAGATTCTTGGACACCGTTCTGCCTTTGCGGTTGTTTGTTTGTTTGTTTGTTTGTTTGGGTGCGGCCCTTTGATTCGGTTCTGTTTTGGATGCTTCTTTCCCCCACAAGCGCCTCCCCCACAAGCGCCCCTGCCCTCACTTTTGTTGTCCACTGGATGGTGGCTTTGGAGGCAGAATCGCCCTTCGCTCAGAGTCGGTTTCGCTCCAAATCAGTTCTGACACATCAAACTTTTACATCGCCGTTAGGAGCGGGTTCAACTTTCGTCAGAATGGCACCGTGCCTGGACAACCAGACAACGCGTGATGAGTTGTCCTCCGGTGCGGCTGTCCTCCGGTGGCCGTGAGCCAAGGCCTATGGCCGCATACGGTGCTCTTGTGGTTGGGGCAGGAAGCCATCACCGCTCGCCTGCGTGGCAAAAGAGGGGCTCTGCTCAACTTAGCGTGGCACTGGGTGAGCCACAACATGATCCACTCTGAGTCACTGACACGGAAGTGAAAAAGGATCCCTCGTTAGACTACTTTCCTCTAGAAACAGAGGGTTTTCCACCTCCATGATAGTGAGTCAGAGTGTAGGGTAGCTGCTAGCTGTCAGAGTGGCAGTTCTTCGCTGGAGGCTTGGCCAAAAGGCCTCTTATAAGGTTTAAACAGCTTGATTCATGGATCAAGACCTGATCACCCAAAGTTCTGTGAAAACCCGAACTCATTGGGGTAGCTTAGGGGCGCAAGCTTTTCACCCACCCCCTACAGTTGCGCGTCCAAAGAGTCCAAAGGAGAACCTCATCTCTTCTGCATCACCCATCACCGTCTTCCCGTTTCCGGTGACCGAACCGGCCTTCTCCCCCCGGGCGTTCAGCGGTCGCGCACGGGACGCCGGTTGGGACGCCGGCTGGGACGCTGGGACGCAGGTCTACCAGATGGGCGGTGAGTGCAACTCGGCCTTCGGCTCCATTGGGCACCTGCCGTGCGGGGTCTCGGTGACAGCTTCGCAGCGTGCGGTGCGGGGTGCGAGGTGGCGGGGTGCGCGGTGACCAGGTTGGGAGCCTGGGATGGCCTCGCAAAAGGAGGTCAACAGATTGACGGAACAGGACTGAACACTGGAAAAGGGTCTTTGTTTTGGTTGGCGTGAGGACACTTTTGGAGGCGATGATGTCGGGAGGAGACTTTTTTCGTGGATCCCAGATTTTCATCTACTAAGATTTTGTAGTGTGGAGAGTGTTTTCTTGAGCAGCTGAATTTCAAGTTTCCGGCATGGACCGTGGGTAGGTTTTTACCGTAGATGTTCTTAGCATATTAATATGTTGGCAAGTCAAAGCAATGTAATGCTCGTAATCAATATTGTGAAACCAGCACCCCAAATCTTTTGAATCCATGTTACTTTGTAGTGAGTGGAAGGTGCTTTTCCATCGCAAGACTTTGCATTATTTACGAATTCTTTTCCATGTGACATTCACCTCACAAGGTTCCACTTCCTTCACCAAGACATCAGCAAGTCCGACATCACAGCGCTGATGGTCAAGGTGAGGTTGCCAGTGCTTCGAGGACGAAACGCAGACCACTCAATGTAAACCAACCAAGACTCTCCTTGGCACCGAAGTGCCACAGAAACCCAACTGGGCTCCTCCCACAGCTGTATGACAGATAAAACTTGTACATCTTTCTGTCAATGATGAACACAGCAGTCCCTCAAGTTCACACTTGCAAGATCCACCCTGATCCCCAAGTTCTTTGGCTTACATGGACCCCCGTCTGTCCAAGGCATCTGGGGGTGCCAGTGCCATCTACCCTGAAAGCGCAGGAGTTTTTGAGTGTGAACGTTCGATTCGAGAGGCTCATGTCTTCATGGACACGCCGCTGCGCGACACTCTTTCTCGAGAAGCTCATGAGTTTGTTTGGTGCCAAGAGGACTGCTACGGAGTGAAGAGCAAATCATCTGGCAGTTCAGGCAGTTCCTTTGAACTCTGGCCGGAAATGGAACAATCCGCAGCAGATGTGGGGGATCCCCCAAATCCTGGGTATTTTGCAGATTTCGCAAAGGAGCATGGTGCTACAAGTACGTTCTAATTGTAGATCCTTCTAGTTTGGATGTAGAATGGATGCTGCGTTTAGATTGTGCTTTGGCATAGTGCCTCCACTGTTTGTACACTTCTGTTGCGCTTACTTCTGTCAATTTCGTTCGGATTTCACAAAGGCCCTTCTCTTGAGTTTACCTCCGGTGGCACTTGGCATCGGGCGGCATTGCTTAGACATCGTTTTAGACTGGCGCATTTCTCGCTGTACACACACAGAGCAAGTAGAACGTTCAGAAGACAAAGGGAAACCCTCTTCAAGGGATTCACACCTTTGCAGCCCACATATTCTTGCGCTGTGAGAGGTGTTTCCGTTTTCCTCACCTGATCGGAAAAGTATCATGCATTTGTGCGAGTGCGTGGCTTTTGGCTGTATCATTGGCATTTACTGCTGGACAAGCCTCTGAACTTCCGAAGCCACCCTTGCCTCATTTGGGACGAAGCATGAACTTACCGACCTGGATTCCTCTCAACTCCTATGATCCAGGTGGAAACCACATGGGAGTGAACCATAGAATTCGAATCGGTCTTTTCGACCAGGTGGAAACGACTGTTGCGCTACACCGCCAACGCGCCGTCGGAGACAAACCCATGTTTCTTTTTTCATGAATTCGCAGGACAAGGACTGCGGTGTGTTGATCCTCTCGGAGTTCTCGGGCTCGGCGCAATCCTTGCGCGCGGCCGCCATCTGCCGGGGCCGTCCGGTGCAGTGAGTGCGAGCCGGGAGGGAGAGGCCAGTTTGAGGTCGTGGCGGTCGTTCCAACGGTGTCTCTAAACTTGGTGATCCTTTTTCATGTCGAAGTTGTTGTGACTCAGTTCCTGCGAGCTTTCTCTCAACTCTTGGTGAACGAACCACGAAGTGAGCCACACATATTCTGGCAATTCATGCCAATTCCAGCTCTTACTCCAGTATATAAGGCTTGCAGACAATCCTCCCATGACAGCCACCCCCTTCAGCCCAAAAGACACCCCCTTGCGGGGCGGTGGTGAATCTTGAGAAATCCAAAATGTTTTCCACCCAGACACGCCAGATGGAGCCCTCCATAGTATACAGTATATATATATATATATATAGACACACGCATATCAATGCACATATCTTCACCTATGACCCGAAAGGAGTCCGCTGGGTTTCGTCGAACGCTTTGCATGAACGTGAGGTGTGAACCCTTGGGACACCACTGCCTTTGCGGATGCCATTCAGGAGGAGGGGGCATCGTTGCACCTGAGACACATAGCCACGATGCAACACTTGCAACAAGGGGGAGAGAAAGTTGTTTCCGAGTTGTTTCGGAGTTTTGTATGGCATGTGACATGTTTAATATTTTCCCATCTCTTCCCATATCTTCCCATAAGGCCATAAGGTCTCATCTTTTCCCATGAGGTCTGGTCTCTTTCCAACTCCGTTCCTTTGCAAGTGACCGTTGCGTTGGGGCCTTCAACTCGACGACCCCGGTGGATTCCGTTCGCCGGCCGGCGGAGGCCATGGAGATGGTGCCCTTCGATCGCATGGAGCTCCACCGCTACGGGCAGAAGCACGTCTTCGCGCACACCCTGAGGACCCTCGTCCGCGCACACCCTGTTGGTCGGTCGAGACGTGTGGACGTCGTGTGGACGTGTGGCGCCCCCGTGCTCGTTGGACCGGAGGGGACGACGGTCCGATGACGAGCCGAAACGGACGAGTGGTGAGTGGCGATGGGGGCGGGCGATGTACGTTGGGAGAGGTCGGGGAAAGGTTTTGGGATAAGAAAGTTGGTGTTGTGAGGCAAGGGTTGTTTTCTGGATTCTTTCAAATGTAGTTGACTAATGCTGTTTTCTTTAGCAACTGTTCTTCTGGGCTTCAAGCTGAGTTCCACCGGTCTGCTCGAGGCGTTGGGCTTCGAACTTCTTGGACGAGATTTTGTCCGTGCCAAACCTGGAGCTGCTCATTTCTGGTCTTCTTTAGTAAGAAATGAGCTTGCGTACTGAAGGAGAGCATGTGGGCACCCTTGTGGGCACCCTTGACACACCCATTTTGTAAACCATTGGGCTTCAAGAAGTGAAGGATCTACTACTAATGCGGATGCGGATGCTCGTTTGATAGGCTTTGGTGGTGCCTCAGCACCGGTTCAGAAAGCTGAGAGCGAGAGCGAGAGCAAGAGCAAGAGAGCAAGCATAGGTTCATTTTCAAAACTCAAAACAACCTGGTGGTAAGGAGCAGAAATCATGAATTGCATGATGCGGTCAGCAACATCCAAATGGCTTCCGACACGGCCCCCTCGGGGCCGTCGCACTTCCGACAACCGACCATCCCCCATGCGGGCTGTCGCCGCCCGATCCCGTCACGTGCCACTCGGTTCCTCGAGGCGGAGCGCGATTGCGAGGACGAGCGCTTGCAGATTCCTCCGCCGTGCCTCGGCCGTCGCTTCCGGCACCGTGACCGACCCGGTACGTGACGACCGTCGTTTTCCGGTACGAGTGGGGTGGTGTCGATGTCTCCGACCGAAGGAGATGAGGATGGGGTCTTGAGTTGTGGTGTTGGTCCCCATACCCTGGAATTCAACGAATTGAAACATCCAGCTGAAACTGTTTGGGGTCTATTATGCTGGTACGGTATGTTTCTATCTTTTTCATTCTTTTTCACTCGTTCTGGTCCTGATGCTGGCATCAGATGGTCTCAGGACATTTGTAAGATTGAACCCCCAGGTAACTACCTGCAGCGACCCTTTTGTGCGGACTGTCTGTGAGGTTGGACCTCGACAACCCGGTGGCAGCCATGCGGAAGGTATGGGAACACGGCCCGACGGTGACCATCGCTTCTTGAACTGAGAAGCGGGGACCCAAAGTCTATGCAACTGAGGTCTTGGAGGCCAACTCAATGTGAAGAAGACAACACTGAAGCATCTGCAGTATGGGCAATAATTTGGGCCTTGGGGAATTTGGTTGAAAGCCAATGGCCACAGTCATTCATTGGCTTCATATTTTCCGTCGATGCACGTTTGGTGTCATGTGGTCTGTCGACACCCAAACGTGGCTCAGAAAAGAAAAGAACTCTTTTGAATCAGTAATATCAATATACTCCATGTTCATCTGACAAATCTGTGGCCGCTTTTGGTTTCGGATCCCCTGCCTGAGCTCATCTGGCCAGGCTGGCAAGAGGATCTTCGTCTTCGGCTTCTCTGGGACCTTGTTACCACGGAAGCTGCTCGGCCGTGACCACCGCGTAGTCCACCTGGTTACCACGGCGCTCGGCCGGTCCGTGGTGCAACATTCGGTGGACAAACATCTTGTGTCGGTTAGGAGGAGCTTTCTCTGCCAACCACAAGGTGAACCCACTTCCAATCTTGCCTTTTTTGTGGGTGCCATTGCTTGAAGTCCAGAGTCGTGGGCCGCTTTTTCAATTCACGCCTGAAGGGCAATTGACCAGCTTCGACTGGAACACCAAACCATTGGCTGAAAACACTTACCAAGACCGAGAAAGGCTCACTCTGTCACTCAGTCACACCGTGTGCGTTTGCCCTTGGATACTGTACCGGTTCTGTGCGTTTGCCCAACGCACTCAGGAAAAGGACAGTGAGCCCCCCCGACCGGAGGAGGGTCGAATCCAAGCCTTGCCCAGGTCCAAGATCCAAGCGAAGATCCTCTCCAAGCTTCACCCTGTCTTGGCAGCGAACCTCAAGGTCGGCCCCGGAAAAAGGGGGGGGGTCGTTGGGAGGTGAACGGATGATGTTCTGCGAAAGGACGCGAAAGGAGGGCTGCGAAAGGAGGGCTGCTTCCAAAGGATCCAACTTCAACTTCTAATATTGTGTTGGGAATTTCTAGCAGGCCTGATCTTGCATACACCGTGAACCATGTGTCTGTGATGCTGACGCAGCCCTCGGCTTGAACCATGGCACCCCTATATGACGACATGCATTTCTAAGAACTTGAGGAGCTACGACTCACGACGTGCACATGGCACTCCACAAGCCGCAGACCGTCACACAGCGCCCGTGAAGTACACAGACCTACGTCAGACTGTGTGTCTTCACGCGGTAGACGCCAATGAAGCGCAAGTGCCCCGACGAGTGGCAAGAGGGCCGCGGCTTTTGCTTTGTGCGCCATGCGCAGGCGGACGGTGGGAGGGACCGAGCTGGGGGAACGTGAGGAACGGCCGTTCCGCCTTTGGATCGTTTGGAAGAGTTTTGGTTCGGAGAGTGCACTCAAAAGAGTGTGGAAGCTTCAAAGGTAGAGTGTAGCTGCTTTGGCTTTGTTCTTTCCTCAGCCCCCGGCAGGCGCTTCACAATGCCATTCGACAGCATTGAGCGCAAAGGAAGGATGTGAAGGTGAAGATAGATAGTTAGAGAATGCCAATTGTGACTTTTTCCTTCAACGACTTGAGGTTTGTGATGACAACCTTTGGACGCCCGACAATCCGCCGCTTGGGCTCCGACCGCGGGACAAAGTGGATTCCCAACTGGGAGACGATGGCAGGTTCTTTGATGGCCAGCAGTGGCTAGCAGTTGGATGCTGGAAAATCAGATCCTCAAAACAACGTAAAACAACTGCTTTCCCAATCATCAGGTTTTTCATCTTTCCAAGATGCTTCCCAACCAATTTCAAGGCCAAAGTCGGATCCAGGCAGATTCGAAGAAGTCTGTTTCTTCTTTTTTGGCAACCATCTTTTTACCTGGACCCTCAAAAGTACCTGACAAAAAGCATATATCAATCAGGTGCTTCTACAAGTCCCTCCCTCTCCAAAAAGAAGTGCTTCCATATTCACGGTTCCTCCAAGGCTTACGGCGGATGGGGAGCGGCAGTGCCAAGAGGCACGGGCACAGCCGTGCGGTTCAAAGGTCGAATCTGGGACGTTGACTCGGTCGGGCTTTGACTCGGTCGGGCTAAACAGGACTAAACAGGTCCCGTCTGTGGAAAGGGTCAGTTTTTTCATTGTGCCAGTATCGTTTTCGATCTTTTTTGTCCTTTCTGTGGCGCCTGAGAGCTACGTTGACCACTTTGACTGGGCGCCCGTATCGTCAGACGCCGTGGGTGAAACGGTCGGGGTGACGTGACCGGCTGGAGCGGTCTGTGGAAAAGCCTCACACAGGTCCGCAAGGTCCTTCAGTTTTTATTTCGCAAAGAGATTTCGAAGGCCTCATGGGATATATATATATATATATCATTTCTTTGGGGCTTTGGGCGCATCCTCCAAGCATCCCAGTGTCGTGCGCGTGGATCCAGGCGCATGCCGAATGGGGCCGAAAGATCTTTGAGGGCGCAGAGCTCATCATTGTGTCGCCCATGACGCGCGCGCTCCAAACAGCCTATTTCATTGGAGGAGCGCCTGGGCGACTAGTCACTCAAGGACTTCGAAACCAGTTCGATGAAACTTGAGGCTTGTGAAAGAATGAGTTTCTTGGTGCCCGTTGTCCAACTTATGTAAAATCACAGATCTCAACAACTGTTCGACCTTGTTGAGTGTCTCAAGGACTCAAACCTGACGACAAGCGGGTTTTAGTGACGCCCATGTGGGAGCCTGAGATGTGGGTATGGGGGTCAAAGAACTGCCTGGACTCTGGTGCCTGGCTGCTTCGCTCCCCCTTCTCTACTCGAGCCACCTGCCCACCCCCGAGGTGTGCAGAGCACCTGTCGGGGGCCACGTGCGACGAGGGCAGGCCATTGGAAGAGCTTCGTGAGCAGCTGCCATGGGCGCAAGGCGCCGGCACAGACCATTCATGTGAAGCACCGGAAGCTGTTGGAACTCAACTCCTCAAGCATGAGCGTCCGTCCGCCCCAAACTCTCAAGACTTCAGGAAGGAGAAGGTTATGCGTAGATCATTTATGCCATTCGATTCGCTTCGGATGACGTTTATGTTCATTCCGAAGACTCGGATGAGCTTCAGGTTGGAAGGGCTTTTCAGAGCTGCAGGAGGAGTGGTGGAAGGAGGAAAGGCCTGAGGAGGCCTTGCGGGTCGCAGGCTTTCTGCAGTTCCTCCAGGAGAGCCGGGAGACGGAGAGCCATGTGACACCTGGTTACACCTGGTGACACCTGGTGACACCTGGTTACACCCACCACAGGGGTTTGGACACTCCCTGAAAGAATCATGGGAATGGGCCCGATTTGGGATGACCATTTTGTCTGAATACCAAACAGGTGGTGCCATCCACCTGCAGTGGCCGATTTCAGGCGTCCGCTTTGCAGGTCGCCCGTTTTCATTCTTCAGTGTAGGTCGCCCGAGGACTGAGGTGCAATGGGTCCTGTGTCGGTGCTGATCCGGGGAACCTTCCGTTCGGTGCTGGCTGAAGAAGGAACCTCCAGCAGCGAAGAAGACGTCCCATCGTGACTGTGACCGAACGTCTGAACCAACCGGAATCGAGACCAAGACAGCCGAACGGAAGAAGACAGCCGATTTTTGGGACGTTCATGCCTGGAAGCGGACGCTTCTAGCAGCGTGCAGGAGCGCCAGGAGCGGAAGATTGTGGTGGTATCGCATGGAGCTTTCCTGCAATACATTGCCGAAGGCTCAGCTTGAGAGTGCTGACCTGGACTGATGTGCTGGGCAAACGTATGATTAGAGTTACTATTCAGCCCATTTCCACAGACTCATCTATTCTTTTTCCTGTGCTCCTTGGGCCTTCAAGACACCCTTCTCTCAGGTGGGGTACCATATGGAGAACGCCACTCGGCACATGATGAACTTGGAGGATTCGCAGGCCGCCAAGAAGTCGTGCGAGAGGTCCTCCTTCAACATCGGCTTCGCCGTGTGCCGGGAGCTGCTCGGCATGGAGACGTCAAGGCGTCTGAGCTCGGGAAGACATTTGGAGTTCTCCAGGCCCGAAGTTTGCAGGGTGGATTCCTCCACTACTAGAAGACGTCTTCATTTTGGTTGGATAGATTGGATAGAGAAGCCCTACCGGGGAAAAGGTGAAGAACTTCCTGTAACTGCTCAGGAGCTCCATTGAGGCGCTTGCTGATGTGTTCTGAAGACTATGCAAGTCTTCAAGACCATCTAGGCCTAAGTCCCCTCGCACCACTTGAGCAGGGCCCAAACCCGGCGAACTGACCATCGGTTCCTCGATGCGAAACGGTTAACACATCCTTCAGATGGCCAAAGCCGAGCCGTTCTTACCCTGGCCTTTCAAAAGCCTTTCAAAAGCAGTTGATTCTTGGCCGTTCAGAACTTGGAGGCCCAGTAAGAATCGATCTTCGATTCCCTTTTGCTTCACTCCCAGGTGGGAAGATGCTCCCTTGAAGCGGCTTGCCAAGGCCGAAACGGTGTGTTCGGTGTCCGGCCAGCGATCCATTTTCCTTAAGTGATCCAGTGGCGGCCAGTGGCCCCATGCAAACTGAAGCACCCTTCACTTCATTTTCCATGATTGCTGGCGGGTAGGATGTTTGGACAAGTGTCAAGAACATCTTGAACCCCAAAACTGCACGAGCCTTCCACATTTTCATAAGGTCTGGTTTGGTTGAGTTTTGTTTTCCCCCTTTTTGGTGCCTTCTGTTTGTGCCACCATATTTAGTCCGCCAGAATCCCATCAGACGGAGTCATTTCCCTCCAAAACCGGGAGATGGTGGTGGCCACACAGGCCTTTGGCAACCGTGGCCGGAACCGGGTCTCCCATCGTTTTCGGTCGATGCTCCGTCCGTCAGAGGCTCCGGTGACCTGTCTCCAGGGCCTGGGCCGCAAGCGGGGCGCCATGTTGGCGTCCCTCGGCCCCAAGACCGTGCAGGCGAGAGGGGTGGGGTGTTTGGGCGGGAAAGCGTCGGGAGAACCCTTGGGGAGGGCGAAACAGCAAGAAAACAGGGTTTTGATGTGTGTTTCTCTATTTTTCTTGCCTGTTTCTCTTGTTTTGTGTGCTATCCAGCTTTCTTTTTTACAGAGCTTCGTGGGTTGGGCAGCGTGTCAGACTTAGTCACTTGTTCCAAGCTAAGATGCCTCTCCTTGCTTTCCCGATGTGCCCGGTCGAACGCCTCTCCCCGTCGCACGCCGCAAGCGCGCCGACTCCTCCCGCCCATCGCCGCAGCCTCGCCGCGCGCCGACGGCGCTCGGAGCTCGGAGACGACGTCCTCCCTGCAAGGACTTGGCGAATTGGAAGTTTGCCCGCTGGGCCGAGTCCATTTGCATCCTGAGCCCTGCAGAACAAGACGGATCCCGTGATGCGCCAGTCTCAGCAAGAGCTAAGGAGGGAGGGTTGACGGTTGGACCGTCAGGGTCGCGAGAAGGAGCGGCTTGGGGGAGGGTTGCGGCCTCTTCTTGTTGCCGGTGCTGTTGCGTTCGCTCGAGGTCAGCAAGATAGAGAGCAAGATGAACATCAACAAAGCGCTGGACAAGGAGCCTCTCTGCACTGTAGTATGTCATGTAGGACATGGCGGCCACGTTTCCAACGGGCCTGGACGGTCCAGATTTCGTTTCAACGAGGATCCAAGGATCTCGCATCCTCGTTGAAACGGTGCGTTCTTTGTTGAGAATGGCTAATCGCTAAGACAAATTTCCTTTGCATCGGTGATGCGACATATACTCTTTGTGGATGTCTTCGCACTTTTGTGGACTTCTACGGTATGCAAAGACTTTTGGTTCTTTCATGTTCTTTCTTTCAGCTCTTCGGAACAACTCAGCTTTTTTGACAAGCGCAAAAAGCGCAGGAGTGGGAAGGCTGGGCGATGTCCTTCTTGTTGGATGCGCCCTTGTCAGCCTTTGCAGGTGCCTTGGTCCGGTTTGTTCCTTCATGCTGAAAAGCGTGCTCATGAAGATACATTCCCGCAACACCTGAATATGAAAAGCCTTTGGGTTCAACCGGGTGGATGTTCATCATTGCTCCTGAGTTGTTCTCAATGCCCCATTTCATGCTAGAGGGATTCATGGTCCGGAGCTCCCGTGGATCGAGGCTTAACACCTGCGAAGGATCCCGTGTTCAAGTCGATCGGCCTCACGTGCATCAAGGACCTGGGCGAGTGGAAGTACTACCGACGCTCGATCCTCGAGCGTGCCGACGCCTCGGGGTCGGCGCGGTCCGTAGTCCGTCGTTGCGTTGGTCGTCACTGCGGTATATAGTCTCTCTGGTGGATTGGGGTCAAGAGGAAAAAGTGGTGCAAGTTGGGAAGGGTTTTCTAAAGGATGCAGCATGATGCAGCTAAGGATGGGCTAAAGCCATTTGCACCCTTGCAGAAGTCGAGAGTGAGAATGGCTCCTCGTGATGCCAGATGAAAGATAGAAGAAGAACTGCCAACCCTGACCACCATGGACCATGTTGTTTCCTGGTATTTTGATACACGCATGTTTGTTTGCGAGTGAGTGGGCTTTCTTTGGCACAAGTAATTGCTTATTCGCACGTTATGCAGACGACATTTTGCACCAAAGCCGTGCAAAGAAGCTGCCAGCAGTGTGATCATCAATGGTGCACAGACTCAATTCGTTGTCTGTGACCCCGCCGTTGTTTCTCGCGCGCAGCGTTGTCGAAGAAATCAGCGTGCAGCACACTTAAGGCCAAGTGAAGGTGCTTGTGGTTCTCAGTTTCGGAACATGATTTGCAGTCCCCCAGGGCCCCAGTCCTTTCTCATCCTGTTTCATGCCATCTCAGCCTGCTCTGTTCTTTCCGCAGCTCGGCACAGACCGTCCCGGCTCCTGCACCGACCGTCGCTCCCAAAGATGGCTCCTCAGATGTCCAAGGCCGCTGCGGCCGCCGCGGCCGTGGCCGGAACCGCCTTCGTGGCCCTCCCTGGGCAGCGCGTCTCCGCCCCCAGCAACGCACCAGCTCTGCGTGGACGTGCGGGCCATGCGAGCAACACCGGGATGCTCAGCACGGTAGGCGGGGCGGGCGAAGCATGTGGAAACAAGGTCTTCTGTAGGTGATGATCCATTTGGGTTGAAGGCCGACGGCTCAGCAAAGAGCAAAGAGTGAGCTCTTACAATGCAAGGGAATCAAGCGTGGTTGATTATCACGACAAGATTTTACAAGAAGGTGTTTGTTGTCCAGAGAATCCCTTGCTGCAGGCGTTGCCCTGGGTGCCACAGCCGTTGCGGCATTGCGGAAGAAGGATTGAGCGGGTTTTTATTAATTCAATCGACGGAGATGACCACTATATATAGTCACTACCTGGCGAAACCAGTATGTTAAATTATGTTGTATATAAGTTAAGTTATAGTTATGTCCATGACTGACGATATACTTGTCACTCCCTCCCTCCATCTTGCAGAACAGCTTTCCACCCACCGGCGTTGTCACCGACTACTCGTCGTCTCCAAGGAGACCAAGGCATCGAGCGCCGTCCGAGCCTTTGAGAATGAACTTGGCGTGCAGGCGCCCTTGGGCTTTTGGGATCCTGCCGGCCTCTCGAGCGATGCTCGACTGGAAAAAGGACGGAAGGGAGCGAGGGAGGATCATGAGTCATGTCGTCATTGGGGTCGTCTGCAGCTGTTTTGTTCTTTTTCTCGTTCTCGTTCTTTTTCTTGTTGTCGTTGTAGTCGTCGTCGTCGTTGTTGTTTCTTTTTTTTAGCGATAGGGTCAATGGTCGGGCGGGGGAAGCGTCTAGTGGGTGTTTTCATTTTTGGTGGTGGCCATTTTGGTGTGATTGGGTGTGAACGATGGGGCACTCGGAGTTGGAAGGGCACCCTCCTCCAATCCACGGCTTTCCCACATCGAAGCCACCAATGAAACCATGGCCGGATGTGGCACAAATGTTTCTATCCCAAAGCAACCAGTTGGAACAGAAAACCGTAGATTTGGGTGGTTGGACAACCCAGATCTCCCTGATCTTTCCTGAGGTCAAAGCAGAGCTTGATACTGTAGATCTAGAAACAGCAGGAAGCCACGATAAATCTCTTTGTTCTGTTCTCATTCTGACCTCTGAGGATGGTGATGCGAGGGAATTCTACCGCCGCCGCGTTGTGGAGATCAAGCATGGCCGTGTGTCGATGTTGGCTTGCACCGGCTACATCGTTCAGGAGTTCTTCCGCTTCCCGGGCTACATCTCCCCCAGCAGCGAACTGAAGTTCACCGACATCCCCAATGGTCTGGCGGCCGCCACCAAGGTCCCGGCCGTGGGCTGGTTCCAGTACACCATCTTCTGCGGCATTTGCGACCTGTGGCTCCTGCATCAGGTGCCCACCAACCCAGCAGGAAAGCTTTGCACTCGGCTCTTCGGAGAGGGAGCCACCAACTACGAGTACGGCTTCTTGGGCCTGCCGGGCTACCTGGGTGGCAAGGCCGCGGAAAAAAGAAACGAAGACACCACGATCACCTTTTGCATCCCGTGCAGCGACATTCACAAAGCCATGAGATCGTCAAGGATGCCTAGCAACAGGAACCACTCTCTTCGTTGGATCGGCATGAAAAGGCCAATTTTCAGTGTCCTCAGCCTTTGGGTTTCGAGCTTCCCCCCTATGGTGGACGCCTCCGGGTGTTGTCTGAATCGCTGGTTTTTTTGGGTGTCGGGGGCCGGACTTGTGGGAGGCCATCGAGGACCCTGATGTGAAGAAGAAGAAGCTCAACGCGGAAATCGCCAACGGTCGTTTGGCCATGATGGCGATCATCGGAATGTTCTTTCAGGACCCTGCGATGGTGAAATTTCACTGCATTATCGGGTGGTGTTGTTTGTCTTGTTCAATGGTTCTCTTCTCCAGTGGGTTCAGACGAGGTCAGGTGTTACTGTAATTTTTTTGGTGTTGGGCCGGGTGGAAGTTTCATTCATGAACCAGACTGGTAACGCGAGATGGGCGTGGCCGTCTTCCAATTTCTTCAGAAAGAGCCGCACATCACCCAAAGAAGCTTTGAAGCACGACGAAGCGAGACCCGACCGATGGTGGAAACGGCCTGCGGCAAAAGCAGATGCAGAAATATGGGAGCCAATATGGGGTGTGGCTGGCTCAAGACATGAGATTTACGTAGGGACGCATGGGTCCTATGTAGATGGTTTTAGCATGCTTCAGCAATGTCTTCCATTTATCTATTTGTGAGCCATAGTAATGCCTTTTGTGGTGGCCCCATTGTATTGCTCTCTTGGTAGGTGTGATTTGCTCACTGGCGGTAGTGAGCAGAGTGAAAGCTCCACTGAAAAATGCTAAAGCGGAAAGATCTGGAGAGGAACAACTCCTAGGCTGTTAACGAATGGCAACTAACATGATCAACGTCTCCAATGTTGAAACAAGGCAGCCCCCGTGGGACCGTTCTGACCCCCTGCTCTTGGCGCTTCATGACCGTGTTTTTCGGCGAATCATTCTTCTTTCTTTCAACTCACCACAGTGAATATGTGTTCTGGTAAAGTGGAACAGACAAGATCAGAAACATCTACCACTGGATCAGCTGGTTGACCTGCCAAGTGGACGGTGGATGTCCGGATGGACGGCCTCGCAGGATGGTTTGACGGGCTCGGCCTGGGGTGATTGGGCCAACTACACCGAGTCGCCTTTGCGCGCCTTCGAGAGCGAGCTGGGTGTGCAGGTGCTGAACGGACTGTGAAACCTATAGAGACCTATATATATATATATAGATACCTTGCTTATAGACTATAGATGCATCAGACTCTTCCCAGACTCATCCAAGGTGATGGAAGTGAAATTCACCCTCCAAGTTCTCCAACATAGGTCCAAGCGTCTCTGCCAAGACCGTTGAGTGTCCCATTGTCCTCCTCATGTCCTTTTCTTCCTTCAGACCCACCACCTTCCATCTCTTGCCTGCACCGCCTGCACCGACCACTCCACCGACCGAGCGGAGGCGCCCTTGGGCTACTTCGACCCCATGGGCCTCTCGAAGGACGGCGACGTGGACACCTTCCGCCGCCGCCGAGAGTGCGAGCTGAAGAACGGCCGCGTGGCGATGTTCGCCACCATCGGCGCCTCGGCAGGGACCATGTGTTGCAGAAAGGTGTGAAGGGTGGTGATTGAGATGAGAAGAGGTGGTGAGAAGTAGATGAGCAGATGAGAAGTCTCTTCTCCATCTGTTTAGGGGGTGAGTGTAGTAACTAGCTCGCATTGCAGTGCAAATACATGCAAAATACCAAGTGCAGCTCGAGATGACGGCGAAGTTCATGGGCAGAAAAGCTCCAAACGGGTGCACCAATGTGCACCTCCATTTCTTCAAGCGGCGCTTGAGGATACATGGTGCCGGAGTACTTCAAGTTCCCCGGATACTTGGCGCCTTCCGCGAACCTGAAGTTCGCCGACGTGCCCAATGGCGTCCAAGCCATCACCAAAGTGCCTGCTGAAGGCCGGGGGCTGTCCTTGCTGCTAGTAGCGATGCCCTTTGTTCCTAGTAGCTTCTTGCTACTATGGTTCAGAAGCTATGTGCAAGACTCTGAGATTAATGGGATTTCATATTTTTGGGGCCCGGCCCTAGCATGTTGTGCTCAAGAGGTGCGTCTTAGGAATGTTGATTCATGGACATTAAGTTTCGGAAGAGCAGTTGAAAGATTGGGCATTACCGCTTCAAAGTTCTCACAAGTTTCCTAATCTTGAGCTATGGTCATGGATCACATCCAAAATCTTTGGCTGGAAGTTCTTCGAAGGGGTGTGTTTTCGACCCGAAAAAGGTCGACCCTTGAAAGACGAGTCCAAAAGTCCGAGCAACCATCGACGTCCAAAATCCGACCTGACCTGGGTTTTAGAAATCCGAGCAAACATCGACGTCCAACATGCGGGCCAGCAGACTTGGACGGGCCATCGCTCTTAGCTATGGGTGGGTTCGCAGCTCTTAGCTAATGCCGGCGGTCGCCATTCGGACGAACAGTGGGTTCGCAGCGGTCAGGCTGGCTGCAATGGGTGGCGCTCTGCGGTCTCTATGAGTTTTGCGTGAACACCCCCGTGGATCCCGCGGAGCCTGGCAACTATGGCGGGGCCTGGAGAGGGCGGTGCGCTTTTTTTCTTTTTTTTGTTCGGCGAAGAGGGTGGGTTGGATGATGGTTGGATGGGCAGAGACAGTTAGTTTTTTTCTTTTTTCCGCAGCAGTTGGATATATAATCGAGACAGACAGCTCATTCGGCTGACTTGGGAAACATCTTCTTTCGACGTTTCACCACGACGTATTTTTTCGTTCGCCATCAGCTTTCGGTAGGTGTTGGTATCATGTCAGAATTTCCTGCTCCAATCATCCATTTCTCTTACGTTTGTTTTGAACCAACATGAAGCAACCTCAGTTTCTTACCTCAAAAATGGTTCCTGTCAGTGATGAGCATGGTGAGGGTTTGCTATTCACTGATACAGGGCAGGGTCAGGGTCAAAAACATATACACAAGATCAATAGCGCGAATGGATCATTTCCGCTTGACAGAAGCCTTTTGGGAACTACTGGACCCTCGGATTTCACATGATTTCACCAATCCACCTCAAAACCACTTCCCCTTGTGAAGGTGTTTGAGGTCGATTACTGATCAATGTCTATCATTTGGCAATGACCATAGCCTTGACGTGATGGGTATGGCTCAAACAGTAAGGCCCACGAACCTCTCATAGAAATAGAGAGCTGGAGTACGTTGACAGCGTCGAAAACACCTGGGAGGTGCGACCAGCTCCGCTAGCTCCGCTAGCTCTGCCAGGCAAGGGCAGGTTGGGCTATGGCAACATGGTCTTGGGCATCACCGCAGAGCCCATGCAGGATGCCGAGGCGAACGACGCGGATTCGAACGACACGGAAAGGAGTGGAACCACTTGGTTTTCGATGGCGTTTTCGAGGAATAGGATGGAAAAAAGAGATCGGATGCGGTCGTTTTGAGACTGTAGCTCTAGGACTTTTGGAGTCTTTCTTTTTGGTTTTCCGCCAGGCCAGGAAGCGCGCCTTGAACTCCGAGTTGGCGAACGGGCGTTTGGCCATGATGGCCATCGTTGGGCTCTGGGTGCAGGAGAGCATAGAAACTAAAGAGGGAGGATGGGTGCAAGGGTGCTTGCAGAGTGAGGGTGAGGGTGTAAACGGCAGTGGTTCCTACACTTGTGAAAATCATGAGACTATATGTGCCATGAATATCATTTGTTTACAAGAACGCCTTCAACCAATCCTTCACGATCTACATGGAGATGGCCAGAAACTGCCTGGAACATGAAGAACGTAACGGGACTTGACAGATTTGTGGCCCAACGAGTTTCTTTATCTTTAGACAGGTATTGTTTGATGAGCTTGGAAGGTTTCTCTTTTGAAACGTATCCGTCGTACGACCTGAGACCAGTTTTTATATATTTGTTTTACAAACAGCATTTGGACGAAAGAACAGTTACTAACCCAGCCTGCTGGGACTGTGCCTTTTGTCTTGATCCAAATGAATTCAGCCGACGCATTGGGCGGGTCTGCTGAATTCATTTGGATCAAGACTAAACGCACAGTCCCAGGCTCAGTGAGCATCCCTGGTGATGTGGAGGTAGCACGACGTGGGTTCTGCACGTCGTTCTATGAAAAGATTTCGCTTATCCTCAAGTCCAATTGCTGGTGATGAAGGTCCTTAGGCGATTCCAGAACCTTGGGCAACAAACATGCTACCTGTAGGGTCTACTAAGACGAGGGCCCCATCTTCAAACCAAAAAGCAGACTTTGCTACCAGACGCCGCCGGAATCCGCTTGAAGCTTAAACCCAAAACCGCTTCGGGAGGACGGCCTCTTTGGCACGCCCTATGGCCTCTACACCGGCTCCAGTGCCTTTGAGTCGGAGCTGGGCGTGCAGCCGCCCGTGGGCTTCTGGGACCCCTTGGGCTTTACCAAGACCGACGATGCCGCCTCCTTCCGCCGCCGACGCTACGTGGAGCTCAAGCACGGCCGTGTGGCCATGTTCGCGGCTCCGGCGAAGCAGGGAAGCGGCAGGAGTGGTCCAGAAAACCTAGAGGTCAGTTGGACCTCATTTCTCTGAAGTTGATCACACAGAAAAGAAACGTTGTTCACTGAAGTAAAGGACCAGGTTTTACTACCTGGCAGGTTCATTTTCCCCGTTTTTTAACGTTCAAACGCGTGGGGTGGGGTGCCAGAACGGTCGGCGAGGGTCTTTTCATTCGTGGGGTGTCGCACGCGAATGAAGTTCGCCCTTCCGAGTGTGAGAGGTGAAGCGTTCAGGAACTGGTGAGTGAAGCGTTCAGGTCGTTTTTCCAAGTACTACCTGAAGCTGAAAAAGTGGCAAGCCAAAGTACTCTTTTCCAAGTAGCCGATGTTTCCCACCCAGTTGCGAGCAAATGCCAAGGCCTGCCTGGGATACATTGTGCCTGAGTACTACCGTTGGCCCGGCGATTTGTCGCCTTCCCTCGGACTCAAGCAACTGGGAGAAAAAAGTCGTCACAATCCTGGTCGGCACGACGGCGCGAAAGAAGTAGCAGAGCAACAAAGCAACAAACTAATTTTCCAAAAGAACATGACAATGTCCAATCTGCAGAAAAGAGATCTGTGATTCGTTTCTTCCATCTCCGTGGAATTTTCGAAGGTGAAACTTTCATCCACCGTGTGCAAGTTAAGCCCATGGCCATGGCATTCGCACTCATGGTGACATCCATGCGGTGCTGACATCCGTGAAGATCCTTTTGCACAGATAGCATGGGATTCGACCCCAAGTTACAGGTTCTGTTGGAACTCATTTGCTTTGTTGTTCATCTTACCCACTGCGCCAGGATCCGAAGGAACTCCAAACGGTCGAGTTCGCCATGTGCAGAGCCTCATGGGTCCCTTAAAGGGACCAAACACTCCCCGAAAGAAATCCTGGATGGCATGGTTCCGATGTCGGATGACCGTTTTGCTCCACGAACAGATGGTGCCATCCACGTAACCACGATGGTTTCAGGGAGTGTCGGGAAAGGACCTCCTTCCGAGGTTCACTGACGTGCCCACTGGCTTCGCCGCCTTCAGCAAGGTGAGGACTTGTCGGGCACATGTGGATGCAACGAACGAAAGGGACCAAGAAACCCTTGAAACCAGCTATAGACATTCCTCTTGGTCTTCTAGACGCTATAGCGTTTTGTTCGATTTCCCCTTTGAAAAGCAGAACTAGCCAAGGGAGACTTGAGTGACTCACGCTTCTGCATGGCCTTCAAGCTGGACATCCACCAACCAGCCTTTCTTTCGATGATTTTCGACTCGTTCGACCCCGGAAAACGCGGCCCTGGCGACAGACGGTGGTTGGAGAACCACTCTTCTGGCCTTCAACCGAATTGACAAGGACATCATCCGGACACATCTCCGCGCTCCGCGCTCCGCGCTCCGCTGGGACGTCTGTCAGGTGCCCTTGAGCGGCTGGGCTCAGATGGTCTTCTTCGCTGGGAGCGTCGAGCTCTTCCAGTACGTGTCCTGGCAGTTTCGGTGAGGATGGGGGGTTTCGGACATTGGGCTCCTTGTTTTAAGGAGAATTGGAACGTTTTGTGTCTTTTTGGGGGTGGCCAGAGCAAGATGGCGAAGATGGTGCGTTTGCGGGTGCGCTGAAAGCTTGGAGGAGTTTTGCACCACCTGAAGTGCTGATCTTTTGCAACTGGATTCTCCTAAATATTTGTGTAGGCTTCTTCCAAGTCTCAACTCTGTGGTTCTTCGGCTTCGTCAAGTGACAGCCCCAGATGTTTCATTCAGACTTGAGATTCGTTTTGCAAACACACACTGTCACACACACACACAAGAAGAACTTGAACAGCTTCGCCCTGCGTCGCCCGACCGACGCCCCGGATGCACCGACATTTGTCGCAGGTGGACGATCCCAAGCGCCCTCCAGGCGACTTCGCCAACGCGGGCTTCCTCGGGGTGCCCAACAGCTTCTTGGAAACAGGGAAAAAGACGCTGAAGAGCCTCTGTGGGTTTCCTTTTCTCCCTAGATAGGGTGAGCTATTGGGGTTCTTACTCCAAGTATAAGAAGAGCTGCATGTGTGCGTTTTCGAGCCTGCGTGCTGGTGCTGCTGCAGGGTGCCGCTGCTGTTCCAGTATAGGAAGACCTTCATGTTTGCGTGTTCGAGCTTGCGTACTATTCCGCTGCAGGGTGCCGCTGCTGTGTGCGCTTGGGAGCTTGTGTGCAGGGTGCCGCTGCAGGGTGCTGCTGCTGTGTGCCCTTGGGAGCTTGGGTGGAGGTGCCACTGGAGGGTGCGCTGCAGAGTGCGCTTGGGAGCTTGGGTGCTGCATCCTTTTAGACACAGTCCAAGATGGATCAACATAGCATCGACATAGCTCCAAGATGGACCAACATAGCCGCAACATAGCTCCAGGATGGGCCATGGCCCCAACATGGCTCCAAGATAGGGCAACATAGCCGCAACATGGCTCCAAGATGGGCCTACATAGCCAATATGGCTAAGATGGGTCAACATAGCACCATTATGGTTGTTATCTCGGACCCCAACCGAGCCCTGCTTACGCCCGCCTGTACCCTACAAGGCCACCCTACAAGGCCTGCACCTGACGCCTGCACCTGCCCTGCTTGCCTGCCCGGCCCGCTCTTAGGCGTAAGCCCTCAAATCTTTTTGCTATCTGGGGTATATGCTGGCGTGTTTTTTCAGATTTCATGGCGCTGAAGCGGGGTTGCAAACTACAAAAGCCACCAGACGCTGAAGGCACCAAAAGTACATCATCATCATCATCATCATCATCGAAAACTACACACCCTATCGCCCCATCAATGAGCACAGGACAATGAAAAGATGCATGGAACCGCTTGCAACACAAAATCAAAAAGACTTAAGCGAGTGTGCGCAATGTTTTGACCAATGGATCAGGGCACCTACTCTGGACTTTTCTGCATGATCCCCTGTTCTAATGTTTGTTGATCCTGTTCTCCTGCTCTTCTGATCTAGATGCCGGAGCTCTTCCACTGTGCAGCAATAAGTTGCCGGAATCCAAAAAAACACCTAGTGCCTGCTTCTGGTGGGGCTTTCTTTTTTTCAGGGCTTGGGGTTGGAGCTGGATGGGGATCTTCCTTCTTTGGATGTGTTCTCCTTGACCTCCATAGCAGGACAAGGTGCTGGGAACACTTTTAGAGAAGCTTTGGCTCCTTTTCCTTTCATTGCTCGCTGGAATATTAATTGATCCCCATCGAATATTTTCCCCAAGCAGTTTACTGTTGGGGTTCTCTCTAAGAAAGTTACACCGGCATAGATAGGTTTGTCATCCCTGGCATGGCGTGATGTCTTAGCACCAGCGCCAGCAGGGCAGCAGCGCCCGCAAAACGACACGCCGATCCAGAGACAGCAACTGCACCAGCGCCAGCAAAACAGAACGCCGATCCAGCGCCAGCGCCAGCGCCCCACCAGCGCCCGCAAAATGCAACAGCGCCCGCACCAGCACGGCAGCAGCGCCCGCAAAACAGGACGCCGATCCAGAGCCACACCATTGAGAAGTAAGAGCCCCTTGTCCTCCTTTAGTCCTTCTCTTGTCCTCCTCTGTCCTTCTCTCATCGTTTTGCCCTTCTCTCCTCCTCTTGTCCTTCTCTGTCCCCCTCTTGTCCTTCTCTTGTCCTCCTCTTGTCCTTCTCTTGTCCTCCTTTTGTCCTTCTCTTGCCCTCCTCTTGATCTTTGTGCCTGCTTGCCCACGTTGTCGGCCCTTTTATCACCGCCTTGTCCGGGCCTTGTCCCCTGCTTGGCCACTCCGCCTTTTCTTTCTCCACCTCCTTGTCTGTTTATGTTGCGGGTGGCTATGAATGCAACAGTGATACAGCGTTTGAAATGCGGTATCACCCTTGGCTTTTTGATGACAGTATCCCATCGGTTTTGCACATGTGAGACGGGCATCAGGAACTAGTGTTTTCAAACATTTATTGTTTACGTGCAGTTCCCAAGCACCTGGCTATAGAGAAGTATGCATGCAGCCGTTCCCACCAACATTGGATTTCAAGGAAATGATGCCCAAAAATAATGCTGACACTGTGTGGGGTCTATGCTGGTATAATTTATTGATGTGATTCTTTTGTTTTTGAACCCTCACCCCACAGTTCATTCGTTTAGAGACAGAGATGCGTTTGTTTTTGTTCCAGTTTGAACGTCTTTACAACTCCAGGAACCTATAGGCATTTGAGTTTCATCACCACCCAAGGTGGGGGGGTTCTTGCTTGCTATGCTGTCGTTTTTGGGGGACCGCCAGCCAGTGCCCAGCCTCCACCGGGCGGTCCGACACGGTCGCCCTGGTCGCCGCCCCGCTCAGCACGGGCGCCTCGGCACCGGCGAGGCTTCGTGAAGGCACCAGCGGACACCAAGGAGAAGAAACTGGCCGCGGAGATCGCCAACGGACGATTGGCCATGATGGCTCCTTGGTGGGAAGAGGGGATCGGTCCCAACTTGCGAAGGCACTCTGCACTAATGTGACAGGAACATGCTTGATAGCAACATTCATTGAACATCGTCGAGTCATCGCGTTTCCGGGAGATTGACTCATCTTGCTTTGATGGTGCCTTTTTTGGTCCCGCAAACAAATCACCCAGCCGCTCAATGAAGCCACTGCAGGCAATCATTGGAATGTTCTTCCAGGAGTGGGTGAAAGACATTGTCAATTGTGATCTTTCTCTTTCCGTTCCGATTAACCCAATTACACATGGCTGTCCCTCTGTTGACTCCGCAGGATGGTTTGACTGGCTCTGCCTGGGGCGACTGGGCCAACTACACCGACTCCCCACTGCGCGCGCTGAGCCCGGCGCAGGTGTCCGGAACCCATGGAACGAACGCCGCACTCTGACTCACGAGCGGTGTCAGCTGTCTGTTTGGCACGTTGGTTGGAACATCTTCTTAATCAGCGCCTCTCCCTTCGGCCAGAACCACCTGATGTGTATTGCTTCATGTGGGGGACCCACAGCCATGTACCTACAAGAAGGGTTGTCAGAAAGACCCGATCGAAACAGCGATCCTTGTTTCGTCGATGTCAAGCCAGGAGTGCATTGCGGGAACTGGAGGTCCTTTGCCTGACATGTATTGGGACCCGGCTGGCATCTCCAGCAAAAAGAGCAAGGAGGAGAGGTTTGGTTGGTCTTCTTTGAGATAAGAAGCAGACAGGATTCTGGAGAGATCGAGTGCGACGTACTTAGTCCTTCTTGAATTGAAAGAGCTTTCTCATTCAGAATGATAAGGATAAAGACCACGACGAAGGAGATTATGATGACGCACACGAAGAAAACAACGGCGACGAAAAGACCACGCCTTATTTCATTAACATCTGTGTTCTTATCTCTGTGATCTGCTAGGTACCCTTTTTTAGATCACTGTTTCTGCTCACAGCTCACGACTGCAATGGAGAGATGTGTTTTTCAAGCGCGAGTTATCACCAGTTATCAACCTGGGCAAGCCTAGAGTTGTTTGAGGAAGTTAAGCTTCCACTGGGTGTGATATATATATATATTTATTTGTATATCTATATATATATATATAACTTGTAACAAACATTAAATAGTAAACAATTAGGACATAACTAGCATCAAAAATAGGACAACAATAGCATCAACAAAAGGAAACACATATAGGAGAACGACGGAATCCGAATCGAAACAAACAGGAACAAGACAACCTGGATGAAGCAAAAGAAGCAGCAAGAAAGGAAACCCAACCATGAACCAAGAGCTCAGGAGCTGGGCCCTGGTGGAATTCGGTGGGGGTTGGGGCGCCGTTCTCGAGGCCGCGCGGGGGGGTCTAAGGGTCTGGCGGCCAGCAACAAGCCCCCCCTACAAGATTCCATTCGAGGTCTGGGCCCATCTGACCCGAAAGCAGCAAACACCTCGAAAAAAGTTAGGAACCAATTTGCGCGAAATAGGAACAGTTAGGGAACATAGGCATCAAATAGAAAACAATAAGAACAACGTACTGTAGGAAAAACATCGGCCGCTTGACCACCCCCCGCCGTCTCCACCCCGCACCCTTCCGCCCCTCGACCCCCCTCCCCACCACCCTCCCTTGAACACTCTTGATTGTTTAGTTCGCCTTAGCTCTTCAGATGGCGGTATTGATCCTTGTTGCGGTATCCTTGCTTCTGGTGTTTCAAGAGCCCAGAGTTGCTGTGCTTCACTCTTCCGACCCGAAGTGATCAAGAAAGAAATCATCCACATGCCTTCTAAGTCTTGATCTCCCCTTTCTGCGTCCACTGCGCTGTTCTCTCACTCCCTTTCTTAAACGCGGTGCGTTTGTCGCTGCCTTCCTGCTGCATATGAGTCCATCGAGAGTCTGTTTCCTTGCATTCCTTGCTGCTGCTATCACTGCTACAACACTCTTGCCATCAACCGCTACCCTTGTTGTTGCCTTTGGACTCAATCTCAATCTCCTTGGACTTCCACTCCTGCTATCACTGATGGGTGCTGAGTCGAAGATGAGAGCAGCTCTATAGATTTAAAAAGGCTGTGCTTCTCAATTGATCGGGTCCCTTAAAGTACCGCGTGCAGCTGCGACCTCCATTCACTCCACGTACTGGAAGCCGCGAGCAGGAGATCTTGGAGCTGAGGGCTCAGGAGCTGAAGCACGGGCGCGTGGCCATGTTGGCGGTGATCGGCTGGTTCCATGTGGCCGGCGGCTTTCACATCATCGGGGACTACGTGCCCTGGAGAGTTGGAGGGGGTCGGGGGAGTTGCGAGGGTTGGTCTGGTGTTAGAATAGGGAGACATCCCTACTAGACTCGACCCCCTGGAAGAAGGGAAGTAGACACACCCGCATGTTTTTGGTGGTGGAAAAGGTCCATGTGGACTCGACTATGGGGAGTTCCTTGGATGACAAGCTTCGCTCAATTTTTTTTGCCCAGATCATTTGTTTCTCATCTTCATCCAAGGCGGTGGGCGTGCACTTGGATGACAACCCTTTGGTGAGCCTGACGCAGATGCCCATGGGCGGTATTTGGCAGGCGGTTTCTGACGCTGTTCGAGTTGAAGCAAGGAATCATTCGTTTTTGCGTCTCAAAGCCCAATGGAAGGTATCTCACACGGGTTTGATGAACTTGGATGGTCCATGAATATAGTCCATCCCAGCGACTTCAGAAGTATCTTCCGATGGGCCTTGGATGGGCCCCAAAAGGACTTGGGACCTGTGACCAGGTGGTCTTCACGATCATGTGCCTTGAATGGCTCACCACCTACGTTTGCAAGCCTCCGGCGGAGAAGCCTTGGGACATCCTGGGCTGGTCCGACATCCTGATTGAGGATGAGAAGAGCATCTGGAATCAGTTCAGGAAGGCGGAACTCCAGGAATCCTTCCGTTGCTTTCGTCGTTGCTTTCGTCCACATGCCCTTTGCCCTCAGTTCGGCGTGCTTTTGTGTGAGCAAATCCTTCGTTGTTCGGCTCAGCAAATTTCTTCGCGAAGTGTTGGGTCTTGGCATGACCCCCCCAAAGATGTGAAGCTGTTCCATGCAGGAGCTGAACAACGGCCGCCTGGCAATGATGGCCATTGTCGGGCTGATTACCCAGGCAGGGTGGGGGGGGCTCCTCCAGCTGCCATCTCAAAGGACCAGCAAAGTCCATCCAAGCACGAAATCGAAGTTCCCAAAATGAAGCAGAACTTCAACATGATATTATGACATATATATATATATATACATAAATCTATTTGTATATCTATAGTGATCCACTATTATATAAACAGAGTCAAGGATGTTTATTCCTAATTTCAATTACACGAATGGATGGATGTCTAAACCTGCCGTTTGCAACACGCAATCGACTCGGGGTCCTCTGGATGGTGGGCACACCCGCTGACCACATTGGTTCCGCCAGGATGTGCTCTTTGGCGAGTACGGCCAGCGGTTTGCCCAGCTGAACTGGGACAAGAACTTCTTCCCCCCAGACCAGGGCGTCTATGAGCCTTTCGCCACCTTCTCATACCCGACCATCTTCCCAGAGCTGTAAATGAGGAGCAGTTGGGGGTTGAAGCCTTTTGGGGTCACAGGGGTACTGCCTTTGGAATTGCCGATTGAACACGTGCCCAGGAGCTGGAGCTGGAGATTGATAGTGCAGAAGAATTCGGTCCTAGAATGCCAGACGGCGCCGGAAACAGACGGCTGTGCCAAAAGCACCCCCTGACGGCTGTGCTTTCTCAAAGAGTTTATGGAGGTCAGCTGACTTTCTCGTTGGCTTGCCAAATCGAGACGAAGATTGAATCGTCTCACGTCGAAAAGTCTTTGCGCCCTGCCCTTTGCTTGGACCATTTTGAACCAACAAGATCTCAATGGTTTGGCAACTTGACCCCACAAAATTCAACTCCTGAGGAACGAGGCATTTGCTAGGCATGCTAGACTGGGCCCCGTGAAGCTGGAATCACTTCGTGGTGGGCCCCGACCTCCTCCGACCTCCTCCGACCTCCTCCGACCTCCTCCGTCCGCCTCCGACCGCCTCCGACCGCCCGCGGAGGTGCTGGCGGAGGAGCCCAATACGCACGTCATCATCATGAGCAGCTTGGAGCAGGATCTCCTCACCCAGGCGCTTGGTGTTGACGGTCCCACCTCGAGGGAGGGTGACAGGTGGGTGACGGTCCCACCTGGAGTCCGTTCTTCGACTGCGCCCTTGGCACCGTGACGAAGTACGTGCGACTGATGAGACCGCCAGTCACTGCGTCCGAACTCTCGGATCCCAAGAGGTGGCCGAATGGCCAAAGTCAGCCCTCGGTGGCAGCTGCTTGCTTTTGTTCTTGTTTCTTTGAGCAGAAGACGCATATCAGATGCTTGGGTCTAGGCCATTGGCAACCTGCCTTGCTGGATCATCGCTGAAGGAGGTGTTTGTTACCGGGAGTGGTGACCTCAGCAGCCTCAGGGAGTGGTGCCCTTTCAGCTTTCCAACCCCGGGTGCGTCCAACCCACTCGACTGGAAGACAGAACCGAACTCGGTCCCAAGGCCAGATGGGACCTGGTCGAACATGGAGCTCCTGGACAAAGAGTGGTTGGCACCTGCAAAGGCGAAGAATCCGAGTCGAGACCGTCGAAGACGGTGTTCGAGACGGGCGTCGTGTAGACTCTAGACGGATTGAAGCGGATGGCTTCTTTGAGGTGAGGAACAGGACGTTAATGCCTAGGGGGAGGAAGGTTTGGATGAACACCCGCTCCCTGAGTTCCCAGCAATATGACTGAAAACGATTCAAATACCAGGTGGGTTCGGACGGAAGCCTTGCATGCACCAGGGGTCTGCCCTGCGGTCCCAGAGCCACGTTCCCAACTTTAGAAGTTAAGGGATTGGAGGCAACTACTTGACATGACTCGACAACAAACCCTTCTTTCCAGGGGACGAACGTGATTACTGGCCGGGGCCTGTCAGGAGATCATGGAGTACTTCGCTGCTCGAACTCCGGGCTCACGGGTCATTGAAACCAGTGTGCCCGGCACACCTTCGACCCGTCCGGCTCCACCTGTCCGGCTGGGCGGTCCTGTGTGTGGTCCTCTGGGATGACTCAACGAGATTTCAGTGACGATGACGATGGCTTTCGCTTGGAAAATCGCATGCTGAAACCAGCAGAAACAGTGGGGTCTACTCACTGCAGACAGACCCACATCTTCCTGCTTTGTGTCACTGAATCGATGAAAAAATCCATGCCCCGTTCATGGCGCTCGTGCCAGTGTCCTCGGTGTCCTGGCATTACCAGAAGACCCAGGGCGACCATGCTGCCATCCAGTCCAAGGCGCGTCCAACCATTTGGTCGTCCTGGTCGTGCTGGTCGCGCTTTGGGGCGTCGCCATGCCACGACAGGGAGACGGAGCCATGTCGCCCCGAAAGAACGTGAAAAGGACATCTGATATCCAATTTCAATGACATATGACATACCTGGATCTTCCAACGGTGTCAAATGTATGCTTTTCCATCTATAAAACTGGCCAAAAAGACTGAAATTTGGCACAGTTGGAGGATCTAGGTATGCATGACCTATGGAGCGGATGGAAAACCCGGATCGATTTAAGTAAATGACCCAGCTGGCATTCCATGGAGTCCTTGCCGCATCCACTCACTGGATGGAACTGCTGGTACCCGGAAGTCTAAAGAAAAAAGGACATTCTTTTGAAGTAAAGGATGTTCCTCTTCACTCAGGTCACTTGGAGTCGGACCCCTTTTGAAAACAGTGAAACTGGACGTCCAGAAGGCTTTTGTTGGATCATGTTGGATCTCTTTTTCTCTTTTCTTCCCCCCGAAAACGGGCCAAGCGGACGCCTCCGCAGCCTGAGGAGTTGATGATCCACCTCTGGGCCGGGCCGCTCCTTTCGGCGCCCGCGGAGGCGGCACAGTGGGAATTCCTTCGATCTCGTTCGGTACATGTTTATATAAGGAAAACTATTAACTCTACTTCATGTCCTCTTTTTTCCAAACGTAGCCATTGCCATACAACATTCTATTCACATGATTAGTAGTCTGTCATGATTTTGGATGTTGGATAGAAGTATGAGGGGGTAATTAGGCATCTCAGAATAAAAGATCATGATTTTTTCAGAACTCAAGGCACCACGAAACATCAAAGCCTAACATATATCCAGACTTCCAAGAGGGAAGAATCACACCAAGAGGGAAGGGAGAAACAGACCGGTCGACGGCTGTAGCCCGGTCGAGGTGGTGGTGGGCAACGACGAGGTGAGTGTCCGACCCACTGGGGTCAGCAAAGCACCTGGGCCGATCAGGGCCGGGTCTACTGGTTGGACGCGGGACGCGAAGCGAGTCCAACCAGTGGAAGCAAAGGGTGTGGGCGAAACAAAACCAACAGAGGTTTTCTTGGAACGGAGGTGCTGTTCTGTCTTCTTGTTGGGAGATGGTGGAAGGTGTGGAAGGTGTTCTGGTATTTTCTCCCAGATTCTTCTGGGTTTGGTTTGGACCAGACCAAGGACCGAGTAGAACCTGGTCCCACTTAGAGGGCCGTTTTGGGCCATTTTCCCGGACTTTCGGTGAAATGCGTTCCGCCCGTAAGACCTGTAGGGGTCTGTTTGTTGTATCATGTGTTATAGAACTTCATGTTGTCAGCACTTCCGGGCTGAGCTGCTGACCGTTGACGGGGTGAACCCCTTTGGGAACATGACTTCATGTTGACCGATGCTGGGCGATCGAGGCGTCCCAACTCGAGAAGATCTTGCAGAGGATTTGCTGCGAGGCTGGAGCTGAAGAGGGGACGCATCTAAGGATCCATCCATCGGGTTGAAAATGGCTCGTCGGTCTCCTGATACGAAAAAGGAGCCAAACATGATAGGAGATCCTCCTTGGTGCTATTTTTCTCCTTTGCCAGTTTGTGTGCATGGTGTCATATTTTTTTGTGATCGGCCGGCATTCTTCGTTTTCTCGCACAGGACGGAGGCACGATGTCTCCAAAGTGGCTTTCTGATGCTCGGGCGACACAGATCCTGGGTGTGGTGAGCTCCCCAAAAGTCGTTCAAGAACGGTCCTCTTTGACTTTTTGGCTCGAACAAGTGGTGGAGAAAAGACGCTAAGATGGAGACTTGTATCACTTCCCAAGAATGAATTAGGTTTTTCGTTAGGATCTCAATCTTTCGAAATCGTTCTGGAGTGATCAGGGTCCGTTTTTTGGTTGATCAACCAGGTGCTTCGGCCGAATGATGAGTTGTTTGTTTGTTTGTTTTTTGTTGTCAAATTTGCCAAGACTTAAAGACTTGTGAATGTGAAGGCGACTTGATGGCTCAAGTGGTTCTCATGGGAAGGGAGAACGGCGAAGCCCATGAAACGGTGCTGTGGAAAGGACTCTCTCCATTGGGAGTGACACTGACCATGTTAGCCAACAGCAAGAAGCTGATATGGATGAACGTTCATTTAACAATACGAAACATGAGCATCGCAACATTTGTGTTTAGGGGATGACCCCTTTTTGCTAGGTGCCAGGTGCTAGGATCTTAACTTTTCAAGTTTTGGTGGTGAAAACATGTGAAAACCATTGGTTCGCGGATCTTCAAAGGAAACACTGCCAGCCCAAGCTAGCTTTGGTGGTCAACACTTTCAGCTTGCAAGGACCATAAGTGGCTTCCAAGTCCTAACAACACTGTTGACACGAGGTTGTGGTGATCTGCATGAGCGACCTCATTACGAAAGATGAGGTGGGCAGTCTTCTTGGGCTTCTTGTTTGCAGTGTGGAAGAAGGCCCATTCAGAATCCATGACCGGACCGGCAAAAACAGCCACCAGGGCACCATTGGGCACTTCGCCGACCAATGTTGCAGGAGTTGAAGAAGTGCCAATTTTGCACTGTTTTGAGAAACTCCCTGCAGCTCTTATGGGGAAGCACAGAGACCTTGCCATACCCGAAATGCCAATCGCCTAATCAGTGCTCACTGCTTGTTGTTTTTCTTTTTTTTTTTTCAGAGCTCCTTGCAGTGCTCGGTTCGGACTCCGTTTCACCCCCACCGAACGATGACTTCTGTTCTTCCCACAACGATGCTTCTGTCCTGGCACTGGCTCGAGATCAAATGGGTGAAGCGCACTCTGTTCGGTACGCTCCGAACAGAAGTGGAACATGGCCACGGATGGAGATACCATGATGAACAGCTGGTGAACTCACTCCACGTAACCACGATGATGAAAGAAAGAGTGTCAGGTATAGACGCCTGGACACAAACAACATGGTCTTCGGATGTTTTTGGAACCCTCAAGAGCCTTGTTTTGATCACTGCGAGGAAAAAGCGCCGCGTGTTTCCCTAGTTGTCCGCCGCCAGCGATGAAAGTTGGCGGGGCCAGGACGTCTACTTGACACTGCAGAAGTTCTTTGAGCAAGATGCAGCGGACAAATGGAAGGCCAGCGAAGCTGTGCGGCTAGTTGGCAAACAGCACCCTCCCCCCCTCAGGGTGCTTTTTCCATCCAAAGCCAATTAGTCGTTTCTTTTCTCATCACTTCCACACAGGGCTCCCTCTTGGACGATTCTGCGTTTCTGGACTTCATCCCCTGCATCCGACTGCCTTCCTGTCACCTTTCCAGTACAGATGCTTTCCCTGTTCCAATCTCCATCCATCCGGGCGGTTTCGGCAGGGTCGTTCCAAGGTCTTGCCGCCCGCGCGCGTGTACCGTGTCGGACCAGGTCACCTCGCCCTCCTTAGACCGCCTGCGCAGCGATGACTCCCACGTGTCCGGCCCCATGCGCACGGGCGGGAGCCCCGGACGCCTGAGAGTGGGGTGGTTGTCTCATGCGCTGCACGGGTGAGGAAGATGTACATGTTGGGGGCGATGTTCTTGGGTTTTCAGACAGATTTCTGGGGCAGGGACAGCCGGAGCTTCCTTTTCTGGCAGGGACCGAACAAGATCTCATAGACCGGTGGGATGAAGAAGAGGTGCACCAAGGACCGAGGAATTTGGGCGAACGACCAGTGAAATGGTGCGAAATCGCCTGGTGGTTGGCTTGGGGAACAGGTCTGATGGAGGTATGGAGAGGATAAAGTCGAGTTCCTCAACTGCGCAGGATTCCGCAACTAGGATTCCGCAACTATTTGGTCGGATTCCGCAACTGGGATTCTGCAACTAGGATTCCGAAACTAGGATTCCGCAACTGGGATTCCGCAACTAGGGTTCCGCAACTAGAATTCCGCAACTAGATTTCCGAAACTAGGATTCCGCAACTGTCAGGATTCCGCAACTAAGATTCTGCAACTGGGCTTCCGCAACTGGCGTTCCGCAACTAGGATTGTGGATTCCCTCACTAGGACTCCGCAACTTTTGTGAATGATGAGGGGGTTGGCGTGATGTCGAGATCACACGATGGGGGGTGGGGGGCTACTGACGTTGGTTTGGATGTGCTTCGCTATCGCATCATGTGGAGATCACCAGTTGCAGAATACCAGTTTCAGAATGCCAGTTGCAGAATCTGACTTTCCAGTTTCAGAATCCCAGTTTCAGAACCAGTTGCAGAATCTGACTTTCCAGTCTCAGAATACAAGTTTCAGAATCACAGTTTCAGAATCCTAGTTTCAGAACCCTAGTTTCAGAATCCGACCGATTAGTTTCCGAATCCGGCTCTAACCGGTATGGAGACCCCTGGAGAGATCTCGAGCATATGGAGAGCCTTATGGAGAGCCACCGATTTGGGCTGGTACGTGGACCTTGGGCTCCACCCCCCAGAGGACTCAGTGATGAACCGCCCACCGGCTTAGGCTGTTCTACTACGTACTTCTATTGGCATCGCGCTGGTGTGGTAAAAACGATCTTTTTTGAGACGCACAACGGAAAAAACGGAGTTCAAACAAGTGGTGTGGTACTCCTGTATGAGGTGTTCTAGAGAAAAACACCCTTTCTTCCCTACCCCCAGTCTTCCAAAGAGGTCTTCCCCTGGTTTTCTGTCCTGTGGTAGACCTAGCTTGTGGTGGGGCATAACAATTGACTGTCCTGTAGACATATATATTGAATGGATTTAAGAACAGCTGTGGAGGGAACGCAAGAAAAAATCGTCGGTATATTGTTAAATTGTTTTCGCAATTGTTTAATTGTTTTGGAAATTGTTTTGTACATTTTAGAAATTTCTTAGAATATAAAAAGAAGTTGTTAACAATTGTTGCGAAATTGTTAAGAATAAGTAGAACATTTTGAAACAATTCTTGTAAACAATGTTCATTGTTGAAAACATTTTTTACAAAATTGTTTGCTTCTATTGAGGCCTCCCTTGCTGTCTTGTTTGAGCTGTTGTTCTCCGAAACTTGAACCTTTTGAAGGCTTGGGCGCAGGCACAAATTCACTTGTTAATTGCCATTGTCGGCCCAAGCCTTGGAAGACAAGAGTAGCGAACTAGTCTTGCTATTATGACATATTTGTATTGCTGGTATACGAACTAGTCTTCTGAAATACTTTGCAGACTTTTTGACAGAGGCAGAAAAAGAAATTGCCAGACGATGTGCTAAAGACTGCAATTGTGATTTCTTAGGGACCCCATCGCCATCGCCCCGAAAGCGGGCGTTGCCTGCTGATGAGTGCTTGACGCCTCAGCCTGTGAAACGGCGTCGCAGGCGCCAGAATGGACCTTCGAGCTTTGGCTGACCTGGCTCAGCAATATGGAGGTGGTGCTGAGCACGAAGGTGGCCACAGGCCTGGTTTGGAGGCCAGAGGTGGCCGCAGGCCTGGTTTGCAAGTTGCAGCTGGTTGCGCAGGCAGGCGCAGGGCTGCTGTGCCTTTGAGGCATAAAAGCCGTGGGGCACTCTTGCGGCTGCTGGGACCAAAGCAGAAGCGCCAAGCTGAGGCTGCGAAGGCCTTCCAGTCTTTAGCCAGGCATGCCAATCGCACAGGTCGAAACAGGACTGCTGACTACAACGTGCCCGGCAGTGGTGTTTGCAAGGGCGTTTGTAAGACAGGCAAAGGCAAATGGAAAACGTGGACGCCTGACGCCGTGTTGAGAAGTGCCTTTGCAAGTGAGGGCATGGCCGTGAGGCATGTGGCCTCTCAAGTCGATGGGAGTGGCCATCGGCATGCTGCTGAGTGTAAGCATTTTGCAGCTCAGCTGGTAATGGCTGGCCAGAAGGATGGACTAGCCCAATTCTTGGCACAGGCTGCCCATGAAGCTCCAAGAGGAGACCATGTTTTTGACTTCGCCTTGACCACGTTCATGTTTGATGAAACAGAATTAGAGGTGAATTTGCACGAGCTGGGGCTTGGAGCCTGGTCTGTGCTTGCCAGTCACGCACAAGTGTCTTTCAGGCTGAATGGACACACGCATGATTTTGACATGATTAGGGCTCCTGTCGCAATAGCGAACAAGCAGGCTGTGACAATGTTCCCAGCGCTGTGCGCAGGTTCTGGTGGCCTCTGGCCTGGTTTATCAACGATCTCCTCGAAGATCAGGGCTGTGCTTGTCACGTGCGACGCAGCGCCAGCGAACGTGAGACTTTTGAATCACCTCCTGTCTGTGCAGGACCCAAGGACATTTTTGCTTCCATTGAAGTGCGTCCAGCACCGGGCTGGGAATGTGATAGAGAGAGTGACAAAGTTCTTCAGCGTTTTGACAGGCGCTTACGCCGTGTCTAAGACATTGCGTTCAGGGCATGTTATCCGAAGACTGACCCACCATGTTCGGGATGTCCTGGCTTCGCAGTTGGTGGTCATTGACCAGGTTCCTGATGGTGTTGAGGAAGAATGGGCCTCTGGCCGGGTTTGGGCAAAGCAAATCCTTGACCTGGTGAAGCACGGGGGAGAAGTGGACCAGGCGAAGGCAGATGCTCACACCCGCTTCTTGGAGTTCTTTGCTGGGCCATGGGCAGGACAGTTTTTGGGTGCACAGTTGAGGGTTTGAGTTGGTTTTCGTCGACCAAGTGTTCTTTCAACAAGGTTTCCTTGTCCCTTACGACCTTACGTTGCCCTTACCCGTGGCTGTTTCGTAGAGCTCTTGGCCCTTTTTTTTAAGTTCGGCCGCCGGCTTCGCTCGCTGGCGCCATGGAAGAAGGCCAGAGGGAGTTTGTGGCCGCGTTGCGCTCACAGGGTTTGAGCAGCGGCTTTTCGCCTGGTGACTTGAGGTTTCAGAGTGTGTATGGCCTGTGGCCGACCAGCAAGCTGAGCGACCAGGACGTGTGGGATGCGTGGTCAGGCCTGCAGTCCACCCTCGCGGGCGACGCGTATGGAGGCAAGGAAGCAGTCAAGTGGGGCCGCGAGGCCTACAACTCTCGGCGCCTTCGCTGACTTGAAAGGATGTTGCCCCAAGACAATGTTTTTGGTCCATTTTGGGTGAAAGTCATAGTCGTCTAGTTTTGTTTTTTGGTGGGGGCAGCCCAATAATATCACCAATGGACCAATCGCAAGGCACCCGTTACACTTGGTCTTGGACTGCTCAAGCTTCAAGAAAGGATGCAATGGGAAACTATGGCTGGGCGGAGAGAACGCAATCATGGACAGGAATCTTCTGACTGAGAATGGCATTCAGACAAATGTACCGGCTTCCCGTCGGCCTCTTCCTGATGAAAGCATGACCTACACGGTCTTGGACCATGTTGAAGCAGGTGCCTTGATCAACGGGGACGGAGACATGGTTTCATGGCTGGAGGTGTGCGACATGCTGGCAAAGCGGCTTGAGGAAGGCCAAGGCATTCTGTTATGCTGCATGACAGGTGCTCACAAGAGTGCTGCTTTGGCCTGTGGCCTGGTTATGTATTTGACTGGAACCGCATTTGACAAAGCAGAGACCTACTTGTGTAGCTTGAGGAATTGTGTGGACCTTTCCTTCAAGCCACCTGGGAGAAGCCCCCGATCAGCCTCGGATTGGTTGTTAGAGTGGCAAGACCGCATCCTTGCAGAGGCCTGGACGTTTGACATATGCCAGGTTCTGAGCCCGCATGCCTTCCGAAAGAAGGCAATCCAGGTTGGCTTTGAGGCGATGCATACACGCCCTAAAGCCAAGGCAGCAAAGACAGGGTCTGGGGAGCAGGATCCTGGTTACAGCAGTGGTGGCTTTGAACATGGCTTCTCCACGGTTTCAAGCCAAGAGCTGAACAGCTCAATGGAGTCGGAGGCTTCTTGGGGCTTCACACCTTCTTTGAAACGCTCCTTGCCTACCGCCTCTGGCGATGGTTTTCTGGCTCTGAAGGACGAACTGGCAAGCAAAGAGATGCGGGCTGCGAAGCTTAACCAGCTATGCGCAGACCTTGAAGCGTTGGACAGCAAAATGATGGTGCTCTTGATGCCTGCAGACAAAGTAGCGATGCCCAGCGTAGCCCAGCAGAAGCAGGCCACTGCAGAGCCGACTGCGCCAAATGTCAAAGAGCAAGGAGGCTTGAATGCTGCAGCTGCCGACCAACCAGAGCAGCCCGAGGCTAGGGCCTCAGCGGATGTAGGCCAGGTTGCCGCTGCAGACAAAGTTCCGGCCACTGGCCAGGTTGCTGACGAGCCTGCGGAGAAGCCTGCTGACCAAGCAGACATATGTGACATAGACGTGCCAGACCAGAAGGATGACGGCGGCAATGTGGAGATGGAAGCTCAGAAGGAGGACGCTCACTGTGCCTGGACTAACGTTTGCTTTCTTGGTGGCCACTGGCCACGTTTCTTGTTAGCCATGTGACATGTGTTTGGCAAACTACTGTAGGCTGTAGGTAGCTGAGTCTTTCTTTTATTTCTAGTTGTAAGGGCTTTTCAGTCTGAACAGTTTTGAATCTGAGCTTCTCCTGCACGCCAACGAGGTCAAGGAGGAGAGTTCCAAGTTGATTACGCCCCTGATGAGCCTGCAGCCAACTCGAAGAAGCAGGGAGCAGCAGCGAGTGACTGTGGACGGTCTGTTTTGGAGGGTGAGAAGCAGCCACTGGACCACTCTCTCAGGAACCAAGACTCCGAGGTTATGTCCAGGGTTCTGCAGCTCCTGGAAGAGCAGCGCTTGCAGAGGCAAGCTGTGTTGGCCAGGTCTGAAGAGGAGTTGACCCGCCAGACCCTGCAAGTGGAAGCCCTCAGGGCGTTGTTGGGGCCTGAGCCCCTGACAGTCTTGGACCTTTTGGTTGATGTCGGGCCGAGCGTCGTGCTGGCCTTGAGTGACAGCGATGGCAGAACCTTGCTGCACCACGCAGCGCGGATTGGGGCATGGCAGGTGGCTGAACGCCTTGTCTCAATCAACCCACACGTCTGCGACCAATTCACCTCCCCGAGCGGGAGGCCCGCGCACTGGTCTCCCCTCATGGTCTTTATTGACTCAGGGTGTCCCGGCCTGTCGGAGTCGCAATATATGGGCCTTCTGCACCTGCTGTTGAACAACAGCTCGCTGGCGACCGTGGAAGCAAGGGCTGCGAACGGAATGAGTGCTTTGCATATGTCATGCAGCAAAGGCATGAACCGGACAACGAGAAAAGTTGTCTGGGCGATATACAATAAAGCGACAGGCAACGAGGCGGCCTTTGGCCTGGTTTCTTCCCTGCTGAACCAGCCTGATGCCCGCGGACGGGGCTGTGTTCCTTGGACAACCTGATTGGTTGTAAACGTTTTGTTGTGTTCTTTGACCGCCTCTTAGGCTTGGGCCCCAAAGCCTGAAACCTTCAAAGTCTTAAGAGTCTTAAATCTTTTAGATTTATAGTGATACTGACGCCCTTTGCCTTTCAGGTTGATTTGGCGCTGGGGTGCAATGTGGGCTTGGCGATGTGGCTCCAAAGGCATTGGAATGCAAGGCCGCTGCAGCCGCCTCCTCGAGCTTCAGCGCAGGAGTGGTATGATCGCAACCCTTGGTACCAGCGGCGGGACTGGCTCTAGGCCTCTGGCCAGGTTGCGGACTGCAGGCAGCGGTGGCTCTAGGCATCACAGGCCTCTGGCCAGGTTGCGCACTGCAGCCAGTTGTTGGAAGGTAGTCCGCCGTTTGGCCGTTCGCACAGTAGTCCCTGCGCAGCCTTCTATGTGTGGAATACGCTGTAAGCCTGTACACACTGTAAGCCTAGGGTTTGATGAAAACATCCAGTGAAAGCAGATGGCTGCGCAGGCATTGGCCTTGTTTTGCGGGCAAACTCCTGCAACTCTCACTCGCGCCCAGAAACTGGGTAAACCCTTGGCTGTTTGTGTAAAGAGGGGAGTTGTACCGACATGTATTGAACCGTTTGTAGGTTTTCACTGTTCGGCTGTTTCCCCAAACGACGGTTCTTTTTCAACCCTAGTTTCCCGTGGGCCATTGACCTTGACCCCTTTCCCCTGAAGGACCGCCAACTCATGTTTGTCAAGGGTGTTGTGGGTCAGAGCAGGAGGCGCAACAGAAGGCTGTTGCTCTGGTGAAGGAAACATTCCTTCACCAGCTGAGTGTCCCGGCCTTGAACAAGTGGACAACAATACAGCCTTGTTTGACGTTGGTGTGCGCCATGCAGCAGTGGTCCAATGTCCTGCCTCAGGCCTTTGGCCGTTGTTTCCCTGAAGGGCCTCAGGCCGAGTTGAGCGAGGACGATTCGCCTGATGAAGGCGCCGCGCTGGGTGTCCCTTTGGATCAGACAAAGCGTTGGCGCAAATTGGCCAGGAAACGACAAAGGAAGGCTGCCTACTTCATGCAAGACCCACAAAGCAAGTGGGCCACCCTTATGTGGTCAGTTCTCACTGCGCCAGTCATGGTGGTTCACTACTCCTTGTTTAAGAGGGGCACTTGGCTCTCTGAGCGACGTTGTGAGAATGACGAGTTGACATCCGTTGCTAGCTTCTGCAACCCTGTGCTGAACCCTGCAGCAAAGGCTTCTGCAGAACTTGGATCGCTGTTGCTAGACACAGTCCATGCTGCCTGGGGACCGCTGATGGGTTCCTATGGTCCTGTCCTGAGTTGGCCTCAGGAGAGATTGCGGGGCACCCGACGGGGAATCTTAATTGCCATTGGACAAATGTACAGGAAGCTCATTGAGCCCTGGCGAAGGTACCCATGGAAATTGTATGATGTGCCGCTTTTGGAAGCTGGTCTACAGCGTGACCGGGCGCGGGCCTTCTTTGCAGAGTTACCTTGTTGTTTGGATGGTTTCAGTGCGAAGCTCAAAGCCTGGCTGCAAACACCAGAAGCTTTGTTGCAAGAGAAGACGCTCACGTTTCTGCGCGAGGTCTTTGACCGGGTTGTCCTCACTTCCACATTTATAGAGCGGGCTTTTGCCCGCTTGAGCCGGTGGTGCGATCGCAAAGGTCCCAAACCCACACTGGCAACCCTGGCTGCAAAGAACGCAGTGTATCATTTTCGGTATTTGACCGAATTGTGGAGGGAGAGGGGCTTCAAGGATGGAACCTTGACAAAAGAGAGGAGCCAAAAGTGCAGACCTACTTGGGCTCATGGCGTGCGAAAAGGGCGGACGAGAAATGGCTTGCACATATTTGCCAAGGAGATGGGCCTCAAACCAAGCAAGGAGTTGGTTCGCCAGTGGCGATTGCTCAGTCAGGAACAGCGCGAGCACTATGCAACGCTGGCCAGGGCAGACAATATCCAATCGAGAGCATTGCAAGCCAACAAGGTTTCTCACATGGCTGAATCTGCAGAGGTCAGAGGTGGTTTCTGGCAAATGAGTACCCCGCATGGGTTTCCGCTTTGCCGGAACATTGTGGAGGCCAACCTGTCCAACTTGCGCAGTCTGGCCGATGAGTTCAAGCGGGCCACACGGTCTTTGTGGCCAGAAAGCCCTGACAGTTTTGACGGCGCGCCTGAGCAGCCGTTTCCCTTGTGGGCGCCATGTGACCCAGAATGTTGCCCCCACAGGCTGAGCGACGCACAGCGCTTGTGTTTCACTGCCTTGCTCGATGTTTTGAGGGAGGTCATCATGCGCAGAGGGCCCGCGGCCAGTGATGTTGGACAAGAACCTTTGCTGCTGCAGTTTTCCTCGACCAGCTTGCGGGCGACTCGCCAGGTTGTTGTCGCGTACAACACGAGAAAGAAACCAATTGACGCAGCGCTGGTCGAGCTGCAAAGAATAGAAGAGCCAAACACGAGGCCTGGTGTTTTGGAGGTGTTGGCCTGTGCGCTTGGCGTGGACGGACAGCTGCCTCTGGTTGGGGACGTGCCCTTTTGTGCGCGATTGGCCGCAGATGCTTTGGACTGGGATATGTTTGTCTTGAAAGTGGGCCCTGTGAGTAGGCTGGATCACTTTGATATTTTGGCCTCTGGCCCAGTTGACGTTCAAGCGTTGAAAGCCGAGATACTGCGGGAGAAAGAGGCGCAAAGGGCTTTGACCGCGCTGCGCAAGATGACACCCAGGCCTGTAGGTACTGGCAGAGGCAAAGGCAAAGGCAACCGTCCAAAGGGTCTCGCTAAGGGTAAGGGTAAGGGCCGAGGCAAGCTTGTCACTGCCGACGAGCGCAGCGATGCGAGTTGTGACGATGGGGGCGGTTCCTCGCAATCAGACGCTTCAGATGACACACTCAAAGAAGAGGGGTCAGACGGGTCAGGCACTGGGGTCGCGCCTGAACAGCCGCAAGTCGCCCCTCCGCCAGTGTCTCTGGCCAGTGATGGGCCTTTGGCCAGGTTAGCTCCCAGCCAACCGCGGCGTAACCAGAAGCGCGGGAAGGTTTGGGGCACTCGCCCAGCGTTTCAGATAGCTCCAATCCATGCTGGTGGGAGCAGGACCCCCACAGGCTTTGGAGCTATATGTGGGCTGCATTGGGACGCAAGCAAGCCTGGCCTGACCTGCAAAAAAGCCATGTCGCCAGGTCAGTTGACTGCCGCTGAGTGCGAGCTCCGCCTCAAACGCTGGTTGGTTGCTGGTCTCTCCTCAGAGGGTTGGGGCGCCAACCAGAGGGAAATCCATGTCAGCATGGGCGGCGTGCAGCTCAGCCAGTTTGCTGAAGGCTTGAACTTGAAAGAGTTGGATGACCTTGTGGCTCACCAAGAGTGAAAAGTTCGCGCTGAAAGCCACGCCATATGACTGGCCACAGTGCAATGTGTTTGGGTGCATCCTGAGCCCAGCTTTTTCCTTAACGCCCCACCACGCCCAAATCCGTTTCCAGTAGATTTCGGGAAGAAAGTTGGTGAACCTTTTGATAAATACCAAACAATGTTCGGAACAATGGTCGAAACAATTGTCTTCTTTTTTCCGTACACATAATCAGTTTTCCGTACACAAAAGTATGTTTTCCGTACACAAAAGTATGTTTTCCGTACACAAAAATATCTCAAAACATTTCTCAAAACTTTTTCCCAAAACATAGCATTTTCTTTACATTTCCGCGCATTCTTTCCAAGCGTCAACAGCCCCGACAGTTGATTTAGTTGGCATGGCTTTATGATATGCTAGCGCAGCTAGGTTATATAGTTCAAGAGTTCAAAACGTGTTGGGTTCGCAGCACCTGGGGTTGCAATGTCTGCCACCTCTTCTGAGTCCTCCTCAAGCAGCGCTGCGGGGTCGCCCAAGGCAGCGGACTCTCAGCGGCCACAGGCCAGGGTTTCCAAAAAAAGGCCACGCGCTGAGGAAAAGGAAATGCAAACGGCTTTCCGAAAGGCTGAGGAGTCTGAGTTGGGCTCAGCCCACACAGGTAGCCTCTTGTCTTTGAGGATTTCATATACACTCAGGAAGGCGCGGCAATGCTTGCTCTGCAACACTTCTTCCACAGATGAATCCCCGCTCACCTATGGGGATGATGAGGTGTCTTTGGAAGTTCAAGGGCGAGTGCCCTGGAGAAGCTACGAGAAGGCTCGCGCAGACGATGGTGAGGTCTACAAGGTTCCCAGCGGGAAACTTTGCCTGGTTTGCTTTAATGTGTACCGGGCGCTGGGTCACTTGGCTTGTGTTGTGGCCACTGGCAATGTTTTTGTACTGTTGGCAGTTGAACAAGCAGCTGTTCGAGAACGCCCCGATTGTTCCAGCCTTGCAGTAGTTTGTTGTTCCTTTTCCTTAAGGAAACACTCTGGCGTTGTGCCTTTGGCCTTTCAGGCCATTTGCTGTTTGCAAGGCATTGCAAGGAGGGTGGAGTGTACTCTAGACTGCGCTCTCCTTGCAATGTCCCCCCACCAGATCCAAGGTCTTCACAAAGCCTACAAGAAAGTTGACTTCTACTACAAGTTCGTGTCCAGAAAGGGCAACGAGAATGAGCACAAGAGTTTTTTGCAGGCTCGCAAGGCTTGGGTGAAACAACATAATGAAGCTGGACCAGACCGCAAGAGATTGCAGAGCAAGAAGGCTCTTCTCGAGGCAAAGAAAGAATTGAAGGTCGAGCAGAAAACGGGCGGTAAGTTTATCGCCCCCCGAAAACAATTCGTGTCCTTGGAGTCTTGGGACGAAAGCAAGCGAGGGCCAGTTGATCAATCCAAGGTTGTTACTGAAGCCGTCTTCGGTAAAAGTGTTGAAGGAATCTGGGTGAACAAAGGAGCAGCTGGCGTTTTTGATTATGAGGAGTACCAAGATACTTCCTTAGTGGAACAAGAAACTGTGCACAATTCCAGCGAAACTCCTTTTGCTGAAGAATCTTTGGCTAGGAAAAGGAAAGCCCTGTTGGGCGAGCTCCAAGAAGGCTCCCAGGCCAGGGAGAAAGCTTCTGTTGAGGGTGAAGAACTGGACATGGCGGGCTTGCTTGCAGCAATCCAAAGCCAGGGGCACGCGGCCTCTGGCCAGGTTAAAGGGGAGCTTGCCAAGTCTGATGGCGCTGACGCTCCAGCTTCCGACAATAAGTCTGATGACGCAGGGACGTCCAGCTCTGAGGAGGGCTCCAACCATGCAGGACGCTTTGGCCCTACAGCCAGCAAAAAACAACAAGCAAGTCAAGGCCTCGCCAAAGCCAAACTCAAGCCAACTGCAACACAGAGCAGCCAAAACAAGAAGCCAGCAAAACCACACCGGTTCATAGATAGCTCAAACATTACTGGCGGCAGTGCCAAGGCTAAGGCTAAACCAAGTTCCGCAGGCTCGCAGCAGGCTGAACGCAAAGACAGCAGTGCTAGCTTGGAAAGCAGTGGTACCTTACTGGCCGATGGTCGCGCTCAAAGAGCCCTACGGAACTTGAAGGAGAAATTGTCTGAGTGGCAACAGGCCCTGCTGAAAATCAAGGTCGATGATGACCTGCCAAAAGCAGATGCCCAGTCGCAGGCAGCATTTAGGACGGAATGCACCAGGCGAGCTTCTGAGGCAAAGATTTTGAGCCGGCAAACTCGGGATTACAGTAAACGAATGGACAAGAGCAACAACAAATCTCTCTTTGAGGAGGACTTGCTTTCCTTAAGCAGGTTGGAACAGGCTTCCGCCAGGTTGCACTCTTGGTTCACACTTTGCGCGACAGGTAGCTCAGCGTCACCTGCAGAGATGGTCGCAGCCTATGAGAATGTTTCAGGCTTTTTTGACTTGCTGAGCTCTGATGCTTTTGGCAGCTGTTTCCAGTTGAAGTATGCTTTGGCCAAAGCTTCCCAGCACTGCCTGTATGGCGAGTATGCCCAGTACTGTTGTTTGTTCACTGCTTCCAGTGAAGAGATGAAGCCTTTGGCACAATCCTTGGGTCATCAGTGCCTGGTCGAGTCAGTTGCAGCAGAGGTTGAAGGCCGGATTTTGTTGAGCTTGAAGGCAATCAAGACAGCAGATGTGCAGGCCATGGCCTCCGGCCAAGTTGACTTACCGACAGCGCTTCTCGAGGCTAAGGATCTGTGCGAAGCTGTGGTAGCTGCCTGTGCCAAGTATGGGGAGGATGATTTCTTGGCATCTCCATTGAAGAAGCCGTGCTCTGTGGCCTCAGGCCTCCTCAACGTGGCCGATATCTCTGCCACCGCTTCAGCAGTCGAAGTCATGGAACAGTCACAGGCAGAAGAGGATTCGCATGGGTCCTTTGAGGGGGCCATCCAAGTTTTCTTCTCTGAGCATGCTGTGGGCCAGAGCTTGGTTGACCTGGCAACAGCCAGGGTCGCAAGTGGTGAAAAGGAGCAGATTGCGCAGACTGCTATCAAAGAGCTTGGAGATGAATTGCCCAAGTTGCAGGCCTTATCGCATGCATTTTGTGTACAGGGGATCAAGCTCATCAAGGATGACCTGCTTCCAGTGCAAAAGCTGCTGGATACCTGTGCAAAGTCCGTGAGCGCTTTGAAAGGCAGCAAGGGTAAAGACAAAGATCATGGCAGAGCCTATGACCGCCTCATGGAGCTCTTGGCTGGTCACAAGGCAACTTTCACTTCAGAGGTCAAGAGACTGCTTGAAGGAGAGCTGAGGGGAAATTTGGCACAGCGCTTGCACCTTGATCATTCGGTCTCTTTTGTTACGCTGTTAGGATTTTCTTCTGTTTTCTTTTTTTGCTACACTATGACTATGACTATGAGGCTATGAGTCTATGCTCAAAGCAGCATACTACAATAATAATCTTGGTAATATATATATTACATAGATTTACATAATAATGCTGGTTGATCAGCGCCTCTTTTTGTCGTTTTGTTCTATGGACGCCTGACCCAAGTGACCAGTCTCCATTTAGCGAAGCCCCGGAACCCAAACGCCTAGGCCTAGATAGATGGATCTATTGTTGAAGTTATATACCTTTTTGAGATGTCTGAGAAAACACGAGGCAGTTCCTGTGCAACGCCTTGAGCAATGATTGCATGGTGGGGTCCGAAGAAGCAGGTCAGACGCTCATTGAGTTGGACGAGGTTTGGTCTGGCCTCAAGCATACCTGCCTGGTTGAGCACACGTTCTGGGAGTCTGGACCGGCCACAGGCCAGGTTGAGGCTGTGTTGCGTGAATACAAAGACTTGTCGGCCACCCTGTGTGACATGGCTAATTTTGTCTTCCTCCAAAACGACAAGTTCAAAGAGAAACAAAAGCTTGACGTCGCCGCTACAACACTCAAGCGCTGGGTGGACATCGTTCCAAACAAACTCAAGAAGTGGGTCGATACTGGCTTGGCGCAACTTGTGGAGGACCGCATGCTGTCCGTCTGCCGCTCAAAGCAGCAAGCTTTGTTTTCCGCTGGGTTGACAGCGGTGGCTGAAGTAACAAAGCAGTGCGTCGCTGGGTCGCCACCTTCCTTCAACCAGGGTGCCCAGCAACAATTGCTCATGAAGATTCCCAAGAGTCACAGCCTGAGGCCCTTGGTGACCTCTTTCTTGGAGGCGAGGCCTATCAAAAGCGCTCAACGTATACCATCATGATTCATGATTTTTTGGGTTTTTTATTTTTGTATGGTCCGTTCTGTTTGTTTCGTGCCTGCTAGGTGCTCACTTTGCAAAGCCAATCAGGGGACCAGCTGAAGCTGGCCACTGCCTTGGACATGACCGGCAAGCATTACCAGGAAGCGCTTTCCACTGCAGAGTGGCAGGAGGACCTGCGCAAAACAGGCCTGAAAGAGGCCAGTGCCTGGCTCAAGGCTCTTCGCCAGAAGGTTGCCTGCGAAGCTCTTGACGAGATGGAGCGCGCACACAAGAAACGATGTCTCTCCATGGAAAAAATCAAAGTGGCCAAGCTGCCCAGTTTGACGGATGAGGAGAACTATCGCAAAGTTGGGCTACGATGTGTGGGGCAATTGGCTGACGTCACGGCCCTGCTAGAAAAGGATTGCAAGGCTCTCAAGACTCTCCGCTCTGCTTTGGTGAGGCTGAAGGCTGCGCAGTTTGGCGAGGAAAACACAACCCCTCTTCTTGCAGAGCTCGAACTTGCCCAAAAGAAAGCTGGGCATGATGTGTTTGCGCCTGGTCCAGGTGAGATTGAGTGCGAGGAGCTGGTGGTACAAACAAGTTTTCATGTAGCTGCTGTCGCGGCCTTGTGCCTGGTTCGAAACCCAAAGCTTGCGCCTCCCAATCCCGATGGTAAATTGCTCAAACAAGTTGCCGATATCTCAGTCACATTGAGGGGCAAATGGGAGCTGCTACCGGAGGGCGAGCTGAAGCTTCAAGGGGGGCGTTTGCTCAGTGAATGCGAAGAGGTTTCGAAGTCCAAGGGCCAGAGAGAGCGACCGAAAATGGATGGGAATGTGAAAAGCAAACCCCCCAGCGCAACCATGCTGGGGGCAGACGCCGTCGTCGCAAAAGGAAAAAAAAGATGCCAACGCTTGCAAAGATGGTGAGAGCTGCAAACAAA